GAGCCGAAAACTCACATCCATCACCTGATCCCAGGCAACGCAGCGCAGCAGGGGCAGCGCCGAGCGCAGCCGGACTCGGGGCCGGGCAGGCAGCCGCACACACCGGGGATCGCTCGCTGTTTGCTCACAGATCAGAGCTGGCCCCCCCAGCCCAAAGCTTTTGGATCCAAACATAGTCCCTGAAAGGTTATTTGCTCTAAATGACAAGTAAAGTTCAAATGATTCAGCAGCGCTGTTCAGCTAAGTCCTGTCTCAATACGCAAATGAACTTGGGAGTTTTCCGCCAAAGCCTCTCCCGATTGGAAAACCGCCTTGAAAAGGGCAAGGGAATGGGACCGTCGCTAGGATTGCCCCCTTTATTTGGCTGTTTGTCTGGCTGCGCTTTGGATAGCTCCATCCTGCTTCACGTCCTTTTCTCTAGTTCTTGGTGGACTCGAGAAACACAGACTTTGGCAGAAATATGAAGCAAGTAGAAATGATTAACTCAACCGTATCACACTTGAAGAAGCGTTCGCTATGAAAAAAATCTGGGTTAGATGAAACATGACGTTGCTCACGCATAATTATCAGAACCGGCATGCTTTGGAAAGGGCAGCGAACCATTGCCAGCAAAGCTAGAAATCTGCCGAAAACTCAGCTACGGCAGTCCATGCTGGATGGGTATGCCTGCTGAAAGAGAGGCCTCTTCAAACATTACGTGCCAGGATATGACAGTTGTTCTCTGCCCTGTGTTTCTTTTCTGCCTGGTTAAAACCACTGCCTGCTTAATGCAATGCATTTCATTTTCCTTGCAATGCCACTGCTGGTTTGCGAAAGGTCACCAGCCAGACCCGATACAGCAGGTGGGAAGAGAGCTGAGAGTGAACGAAGCACAACGTGGCCCCACGAAGGAAGAGCCAGAGCCGCAGCTGGGAGCTCTGGAGGAGCCAGCATGGCTGTTCTTGCTGTACGATAAAACAGGAATTCCACAATATCCCCATTTCCCATTCCGTGGAAATGCTGTTTAAAAGGGACAAGCCTCTGTGAGTTCCCGTTCGTATTTTGCCAGTGCAGTAGCAGAGGTCCGAGTCCGCACTGCTGCCGTACTCAGGCACGAGGCAGCTCTGAGCTGGGAGCTGCTGGCTAAGCAGCTGTTCCCCGTGCAGGGCCAGGGCTGCTGGACACGCAGGGCAGGACAGAGCCACGCGCAGCTCACGCTGGAGAAGCTGGGCCAAGTTTTCCAGCTCGTCTTCGCAGGACAGAGATAAGTCTTCCAATTAGTGACAGATTGCTGCAGAGGGAATGATGAACATGGGTCCATCAAGGAGCCAACAAGCGTTTAATAGGCTTAATATGCAGCAATGCTAAACATCAAGAGCAGCCTCAGTTGTTTCTCCTTCGAAACGATCATTCAAATGACAGAATTTCCTCCAGACCCTGTTCTTCAAACAGGGCATTTTCCTAGCGCTGGGTTGTTACCTCCCTACGTTCTCCAAAGGCGGCGCAGCACCCTACAAATCACTGATTTACATCACGGCAGGAAACGCTTTATCCTGAGGGGCAAAAAGCAAAAGGTCGATAAACATTATATTTCACAGGGAGTGAGTTCAATGACTATTTCAATGCAAAGTCACATTCCACATCTCTGAAATTTTACCCTGTTTCTACTGCCAAAAGCCACAGATCTTCCTGTGCATGCTAAGGCAGTCTAGGTTTATTTCAGACCATTTTATCTCAAAGTTTTTTTCAGTGTCTCGCTTCCAATGCAGTGCTAGATGCTTTGGAGCAACTTCTAAAAACCCAACCAGAACACAAAGGCATAAAGAGGCAAAAACATGAGACAGCGGAAGCAAAATGAGAGTGGAAGACCTTCAAAGGATGGATTGAGCACCTGGCAGAGATTCACAGAGTTTCTTCTTTCACCTCTAGTCAATTTGACAACCTCTATATGACCCCCTATAAAATTAGCTCTATTAAAGAGGCCCTCTGGAGTGTTCAATTTACATTCCTCTAGAAATGTCAGGGCTACCAGGCTCAAAGAGGAGGGGCTGCAACAAAGCGCTGAAATAGCAGCAGGGAAAGGCAGCAGTTTGCAAGGCTTTCCTGAGCAGGCGTTCCTTACACACAATGTGGGGAGGTCTCAACAACTTTCAGCCCATTAGCATTTAAATTCACCAGCTCCTTGCCTGCCATGCCCCGCGCATGACACATTCCCACACAGCTGCGTGCTGGGGCGAGCGGGCAGTCCCGCTTCCCTGCAAAAGCTGCAACCCAGAGTGGCACGACGCAAGCGCAACAGGACCTACAGCCTCCGCCGCGTGCTCTGCTCCTTTTAATCAGCCCATTTCCTAATGCTCTCCATGCTCCCTGAGACTTGAATGGTTTCCTCCTTATCCTGCTTCTCATACTAATGCTCCAGGTAGTGATACCACCAGACGGACTACTCGAATAATTTAATAGATGCTGTGGTATCTCAAACGCTAATGCAGGAGGCAAACACCAGCGTGTGGAGGGAGCCTGCAAAGGTGAGAGGGAGATTTAAGGTACTCCCTCGCCCGATGAAGCCCAGCCTGGTGAGAGCTTCTCAGAGGCGAAGGAACCAACGCTCAGTCCCCCAGAACTCTCTCTGCATGCTCCAATGAGGGCAGAGTGGTCATTACAATTATTAAAATACTCTGGAAAGCATTTCCAAATTGTTTCTTCCCTGCATGTTTCAGTGATAAGACACGAGCTGTGATTTTAGGGTGAATTAATTATATCATTACTGGAATCCAATTTTCTTCCTGACATGAATGAAATGGAAAGGAAATAATAAGTTGCATGTTAAGTGCACAGTGATATGAGTTTATTGTCATTAAGGGGGACAACTCCATTAACACGTGTGAACAAAATAAGAAATACAATTGTTCCTCCAAGCTATTACCCAAAGAACATAGAAGCCCAAAGCAGACACAGCTCATCCATCCTCCTGCCTGGAATTGCCAGAACCTCAATACTTGAAGCTTTTTCAAGGGTTAAGACTCTACATATTTCTACAGCCCAAAGGAAAGTTTCTTTGAAACTTGCCTGATAACCCAGGGTTTGTGCCCTCCGGCTAACACCAGTTTTTGAGGCTCCAGTGGCGAATGCGGCATAGGAGAGGCTATCGATAGACTCCATCAAAAAGGGAGCTGCAGCACTGCCCCCGTGCCCATACACCGCTCCAGCAGGTTGCTCTTTGCTTCGCCTCTGCTAAGTGAGTACTTGAGAGAACGGCAAATGCCAGAGCATTGCAGGATCGCTGCTTTAAACAGTCAGCAGAAAACACAACACTGGCTTTCAGTGACCTCTTCTGAGCAGCTCAGCATTTTCCGAAGACCTGCCTGTTAGAGATGGTCCCCGCGCAGGCAGAACGGCCCAGGAGCGAGCGCGCGCAGCGGCTCTCGGCCTAGCTCATTCCCTGGGTGAAGTCCTCTTTCTCCAGAACAATCACATGTAACCAGTCTTGGGACCTACAAGAAAGGAATGCTGTGTTTTTAAACAACGTCCCGTGCAGTTTTACAGCCCCTTTGGCCCAGGCAGACGGGGTCCCTTGCGCTGCCCGCTGTTGCTCTGTGACCGTCTCCAGCTCATGCGGTGCTGAGCACAAAGTCTCGCCCCTCGCCACTGCTCCTCTTCACCGCCTGCAAATGGGGCTTTCAAACACAGGCCTAGCAGAACTGCACATTTCATCTAAGTTCAAACAAAGCAATTTTAGTGTTTAATTACAGCTAATGTAGTGAAAACAAACAAATAGGCATCAGCAGGGTATATTACAGCGCTTCAAAGGTCTATTGTACATTGTATTCCATAGCAAACACTGCTCTTGGCATCCTCTGCTGGACAATGCAGCCTCATTTCCACTGCATTCCTTCAGCGGACATGAGAGGACCGAGGAAAACCTCCAAGTGTTGTGAGACACCTTGGAATCAGGCTGGAAATAACAGTGAGAAAAATATGAGGGCTTCATCTGGCCAGCTATTGACTAAGCTGATGGTCTGGCACAGGTAAACATATCTAGAGAGACAACAAACTTTTTAGTGTTACTGCAGGGAAGCAGAATCATCATAGAGGAAGTTTCACCGCAGCTTTCAACATATACCTCAACTGTGCCGCGCGGCCTTTCTGCTGGTGCAAAGACAGCGTCAGGCCCAGCAGTCGCACAAGCGACGCACAAGGTGGCCGCGTGTTGCCGTCTGCCTCGGCAAGCGCTCGGCTTCCCGGCGAGGCAGAAGGCCACGCTTGCCGGGGCTTTGCCTCCGCTCCGCTGCCCGTGCTCGGCCTCGCGGGCTGCTGCGCAGCGCGCCGTTAGCTGCTGGGTATCTCCATTATACCTGCAAGCGAGTGCCTGCAAATTGCAGCTCCCGATCACACTTAATCGCAGTGGGACTGCCGAGCTGTCAGTTTAACTCAAATCCCTACATTAGCGTTCACTTTCCTACCAGCAAATAATGTACTTCAGGCTACAAGCACGTGGCACTTCCCGCACCTACGAAGATTCCTGGTCCGTGGTGGCTGAGGAGAAAGCACCAACTCATTCTTAATGCTTAAGAAATATTATTATATGGAAACGTAATGAAAATTATTCAGCTAATCTACTTTAATAACCTAACTTAGGGGCCTCTCTGTGCTGCAGACAGTATAATAATTTAAAAAATATTAGCTGTCATTTTCAATCAGTCCAAAGGAGGCAGAGTAACTCAGCACATGACTTAATTGGGACTACTAATTCATCAGGCTAATATGCCATAAAGAGCAGCGACACGGCTTTGGTTCAGACATAAATCTTTCCGGGCCAGTGGCAAGTTTTCAACTTTGTAGAGGATCGTCCTGCTGCCTCTGAGCGGTAGTGGCTGGGGGAAAGAAAACGTGCGGGCACCCACCACCTGCTCACAGGGAAAATTCGGCAAGGAAGGGCAGCCCCAGGACAGGGGGCTGCTGGGGTAGGGAGGGACAGCGACCTCCTGTGCTAATTAACGCCACCGGAAATAGTATGGTACTGGGAGCACCAGAGGGAAATCAAACCTGTTTGTTACTTGGAGGAGTTAATCCCAATTACTTAACAGAGCTGCAATTCAGCAATGGGGCAGAGGGGCCTGAGCCCTGCCGCAGACACAAGCGATTGCACTGGCTTTCTGCCAGGGCGAAGGTGCCGAGAAGCTGCTTGTGCTGGTCTGAGGGTCCTGCCCCAGCAGGACAAGCTAGCTGAGTGCATCCCAGACCCCTGACGTGTCCCCAGGCCCTCGTGTCTCCCACACGGGGTGCTCAGACCTGCAGGAGGCTGGGGTGTCCTCCAAAGGATTTGAGGGAAGCTCCCTGAATCCGTTCAGGACAAAAGCCCGAAGCCAGTGGCACAGGGGCTCAGTGAGTTTCGGAAGAGTCTGGCATCAGCGCCAGTGCCAGGCAAGGAGACGCTGCCTTTTCCTGGGAGCCCTAGCAGCTGCTGACCAGCACCGTGGTGCGACCGAGCGCCTGCAGAGAAGGCTTTCGCATTCTTATTCTTTTCAAGCAGTGAGCCCATAAGAGTGTTTTCTTCCTTTGGCTGTAGCCCAGATAGCAACCCTGCTCCAGACGATAAGGGGCACTGACAAAAGGCATTGATGCTTTAATCGCGATATACCCGCTGGGCTGCGGCGATAAGGACTAGGGCCAGTAGTGCTGCTGTGCTCACCTGCGACAGGCGCCGCTGGGTGCTCCGCACAGGGAAGGCGAGCTGGGCGCAGAGCAGTGGCGTTCGGAGAGGCAAGCGCCGAGGGTTCGGTGTGACATGACGCCTGCCGCACGCTGCTGTGATGCGCACTCGGGGCCAGCCAAAATGTGGAGGTGGGGAACAGAGATGCAGCTGGTTCCACTTGCTGTTTCCCTGTAAGCTTAGGCATAAGAAAGCAGCAGAGATTTATTGGTGGCCACTCATGAAAGGTTGGTAGAAATGCAACAAGGAAACTCTAATCAAAACCAGACTGATGCAGTAATGTAAACCCACCTATGAAGCAAGCACATGCTTATCCTAAATTTACAGCTTACGCAGCTGTTCCAGACACTAAAAACTCAAAAAAAACTGCCAGACAACAAAGAATAAAATATAATATCACTGATCCTTTGCTATAAGTTATCAGCTGCCTAAAATTCAAGTCCATGAGTTATCTCCCACGCACTTCAGATTTCTCAGGCTTTCTTGCCGCTGCCCTGCAGGAAGAACAGCCTGGTCCCACTGCGGTGGTACCTTGTGGGACATCCCCCTCAGAAAGCTCTTCCTGCACCACGCGGCGAAGCCATTGAAAAGTGGCTGCTGTCCCTAAAGGCATTAGCTAATTGAAGTGCTTAAATATGAAATCAGATTTTGCTGAGGGTTTCTATTTCTGCAAAAGGAGCAAGGTAACTATGAATCTGCATTGGACAGATGCTGCCACACAAAAGGAGCATTTGCCCGGGGTGGCTTACAAAGCAATGCTGCACCCACAGCTACACCGCCCCACATCACACCTTTCATGCTGGTCAGGCACAGCATGAGGGTGTCTGAGTGCTCGGGGATCCTTGCACAGCGGGGGCTCCAAGTAGAGGCTGTCCAAAGTGTGACTGGAGTCTTTTACATGCTGAATTAACAAAGCATCAGAGGCATCACCACTGACTTCTACAGTAAGGAGCTGGTGCGATCTATTCGAGATAGGAGAGCGAGGGCTTAAGTCTGGAGTCCCCAGCCTTTCGTGCCGAAAATCTTTCCTTTTTTGTCTGTCCTACTCTTTCTTTCACCCAGAGAAACTAATGAATCTCCTCCTCAGTAAAACTTGCTGAGGATTTCCAATAGTTATACGTCAAGGCCAAATGCAAGTCAGTGCTGTAAAAACAGGACAATAAATTAAAATCCTGCCAGCCTCGCAATCAGCGGGATGCGTTTCAGCTATTTCCCTCTAATCCATTAGTGAAAATGGAGCGATCAGAAAAGGAGGTAGTGCTTGATGTTTTTTAAGTACTAATGACCATGAGTTAACAGAAATAAATGTAGTATAAACTAGTAAAGAATGGCGGGAGCTTTTTATTACCTAACAAGATTAAAACATATTGGGACAGAACCATAATTTCTCAGTCCCAGATGTGTCAGCATGCACATTACTCTCCCGTAATTACCGGGACTCATCCAGACTCATCTGTCTCAGTATGACGCAAGATGCTCCCGCAGTGGCAGCCAGCTGGAAGGGGAAGGGCCTGGCTCACCCGTGCAACGCCAGACTAGCGCCCTTCCGGACACACAGCACTTGTGCCGGGATTGCACGCCCGCACCTGCTGCAAGCAGACTGCAGACAGGGCACGTACCAGCAATCCTGCAGTCTTCACTGGCAGGAAGATGGGCATTTAAAATTTATTTCCTGTCCCCTCCAAGCAAACATCTCTCAACTGGAGATCACAGTTACAAACACTACGGTAAAAAAAACAAAGAACACAAGCAGGGTCCTCTTCGGCCGCAGGCAAAGGAAAGCAGGGAAGCCCTCGAGAACGCACGGAGGGGAAGCACCCTGGGGCGCGCTCTCGCCACCTCGGTCTCTTCCGGGACACCTTGGTGGCATCCCATGGCTGAGCCTCAGCAGTGCCGAAGGTTCAGACCACATAGATATTTGGTTTGGGGGCTTTTGCCCCTTTCAGCACATGAAGTAAATGTATGTGTCTCAAACACTGCTCTTTCCAACACCGTCCTTCTCCTCAGGCTGTCTTTGGGCAGGCTCACAGCCTAAAAGCACTTGCAGTGCTGGGGAATTGTAAAAAGGGAAAAGGAAGTTCCCAGACACACTGGGAGAAAATAACACTCCTTTATAATCCAGAGGAAAACACTGGGCTATATCTTTGCAGCTCCTCAGGTGGATGGTGTAAGAGAGAAGCAAATTACTATTGTGAAGAATTAGCCTCAAGTTAGAAGAATTAAAGTCTGCTTTTATGTTGTGCCAAAACAGAAGCAAAGAAAGGGGGAAGAAAGGCTCTTGCTCTTGAGACCCTGTAGCACAGAAACGTTTCCAATAAACCAGGAAAACCTCCTGCAGGCAAGGCTGCTTCTGAAACTGCACTTGCCCCGCAGAGATCATAACCCACAGCGAAAGCTGACTTAAAAAATGCAAATACGTTTCTGTAAACACTGCCAATATTTTTGCCAGTTTAAGTCATTAATCATCATCATTACTTGAAATACAGCTGAGAAGTTCAAAATATCAGTGTTTAAAATGAAGTCTGCACCCAGCTCTGCACACACCCACTCCCTCTGTGCGTGCATATGCGCTGCACTTTGAGCGTTTACCTGCAGGCTGGGTTTCTGTCTTATCAATTTTCACATCACTGGGAGATGCTATATTAAACTCGCAAATCAAACACTGACATGCCTGAGGGCCACCAGTAACCATTGCCTTTGCTTTAAAAGGGAATTTGCCAGGAGTGCCTTTGCCAGGGCACTTCCAAATGAACAGGAGAAACCGCAGAGATAATCCAGCCCTTCTGCTCCCAGCGAGCTGCCTGCAAACACCTAGCACAGCCACAGTCAGCTCCGAGCACTGCTATAGTGTCTCCTGGCAGTCAGGAGACATTCATTCCCAATTAACTTCCCAAACAATATGGACTGAATTATGAACTCTGTGCAGCTTTTAACAATGGTCCCAGACAGGTCTATCCACTTAGGAACAAGTTTCTATACTTTAATATAAGCGTGGCTGAAAGCGTCAAGAACAAGTTAAGAACTTCACTGCGCAGATAACGTATTCTCATCCGGCTTCCCATATTTCAGTGCCTCCACCTGGGGCAACAACTGCTCTTTGATGGCAGCACTGCTGGGTCTTGGCTAAAGGAAATTCCCCAGGTGGTGGTTCAGTCAGAAGTCCAGACCATCCTGAAAAGGCAGAGCCTCCACCCACTTCTGGAGCAAAAGTCATCCCAAATGAAAATGAAAGAAAACTCTTACTGCATTCGTAGTTTGCTTGCACTCGCCTTCATCCTCGGCACACACATTCTTGTTTTGCTTTTCTGCACTAAGTTAAACCCAGTATTTTCTCCCTTCGCAGCACAGCTGGGGCCTGCCTCTGCCCTCTCGCAGCCACACAGCTCATCCCAGGCACTGGCTGCAGTGTCACACAATTTTTGTCACATTTCTGCATTTTCCAGCTTACCAATATCTTTCTTAAAATGGGGACACAACACCTGACTTTCAACAGAATGTGCTGTTATAGTAGCCATAAGCATTACTTTGAAGGCTGTACAGCTAGGAACAAAACACAGGAGCATTACACAGGCATTGGAGTCATTACCTGACATGGATGCCTGCCACTCTCCAAATAATTAAAACGAAGCAGCTGTGCAGAAACCATTCAGGTTGGAAAGACTTCTCAGCAGGGCAAATTAGCCACAGTGCTCTGTGCTGCCGTGGCTAGCTTCAATCCACTGCACGAGCAATCTGCTTTAAAGTCAGCTTCAGCACCACTACAGTACATTGCCGTTTGCTATGGAGACATACCTTGGGAGAGCGGTAATTATGGGCTGTGGCAGGAAAGTTCATCTTGCAGGTCTGGCTTCTGCCACTCCACCATCTGCAGCACATCTGAGGCCCCTTTCACTCTGGACCCTGAAAAATCACTTCAAACAAAGAGAGCTGGGGGAATCTGCTCTCACACCACAGAGAGACCAAGGGCCTCACTCTGCACCATTACAGCCACCTCCTACCTTGACCCCCTTCTCACCCGCCGCCAGGGCTTGGCCAGATAACGGAGGTCAGGGCAGCAAGGGGACGGAAGTGCTCCCACTACAGAGCACAGTGCTGTGACACATGGGTACGCACATGCCCTGCCCTGGGGTGCTTGCGTTACACGTTCCCCAAGTCTAAGGCTACCAAAGCTGTCACTTTGATCTAAGGTTAACAGCACTCAGGACAAGCGCTCCAGGAGTCACTGAGTGCTTCCAAGCCGTGAGAGGTCTGACAGCACAACGGTGCGCATTACTGAGGGCAGGGCTAGCTCAACACCCACATGAGCTTTCACAGGAGAGGATTCATAAGCGTTTGGACTTCCGGAAGCAGAAAATGCTGCAATACTCTGTCAGTTCTGTGCAACAATTTTAATTGATCTAGAATGAATAAAAAGTACTGAAGCATCTAGAAAGTTGCTTCTGTTTGTACAAAATTCAATGTAGAAGATGAAATACTTAAAAATATCCTGTGGACTCACATTTGCAAACTCTTTAAATCAAGAAGATTCAAGCACACCAACACATAATAATACAAAACAAAAACAGACGTTCTTCTGGGATTGTGATGCATAGTAACAAATACAGGCATACTTCCCATTTTGAGTAGAAGGAAGAGTCACAGAATTATGTTACATCAATTGAGTTCATGGCAACGTGGCAAGGAATTCAACTTGCCATTTCTACTGAAGCAGGCATCTGGCCTGGGATTCACTGGTAGATAACCTTCACACAAAAGGTTTCCTCATTCTTGTCTTCATGATCATTAATATGAATCAAAATCTCCTCTTCACCTGCTTTCTGGCTTGGAGCAAACCGCAAGCCAATGGTGTACACCTCCCCACCACCAATCTGCAAGACAAGACAGATGAAGAGATGAGCATGGATTCCTCACCATCTCTGTCCTTTCCAAGGCAACGCAACTCACACACATGCGCACATAAAGGGCTGCAGGGGAAGTCTGCCCCACTGGCCCACTGCCCTGCTGCGTGTGCTGTCACCCAGGGCTGTGCAGCCAAGTCATCTGCCTCTGGGCTCACACGGAGCAAACCCTCTCTCTAAAGGGGCCAAAAGTTTTCCCGCTGCATGCAATGGATGCTCGTTCCCACAGAACGCGTTTCTTTGCCTCCTTTATTAACGCGTACCACCAGCCTCTGAGCAAAACGTGGTCTTGCCTTCACCAAGAGCCACCTCACTCTGGCAACATCAGGCCATTAAGCACAGATGAAGACCTGCAGCTCGCAGGCAGTTTAGGAAGTCGAGCAGCAGGGTCTTTGGCAAGCAGCACTCTGTGGCTGAGTACCTCAAAGGAATCCTCCCTGAATTGCAGTAGGTCAGGCCGGTTGGTGCATAGGAAGTACAGCCTCCGGGAGGGATACGGGTTGGTGTACGTGATCCGTTTGTTGGAACCTTTTCCTCCTCCTGCAGGGAGCGTTATCTCGAACGCCTGTGTTGATTAAATACAAGAAATTGCTGGGTCGTCATTACCACAGCCGCACAAACTGTGGGCAGAGGAAAACACGAGCGGGCTCTCATATGGAACTAAATAAGGAGAATCATCTTGTTAACTAATTTTTATTCTCAGAGCATGGAACAAAGTAGTGTTGAGTCACAGAGATCCTGGCCTGCTTTGTAGTGCGCCTGCAATGAGTTACGAATTGACCAAGAGAGTCGTGGGGGCTGCTCAAGACCTGGTAGGTTTGCTTATGATTTAAGGATGGAGCTGGGACTGCCGAGTCTCACACAAAAAGATCCATGAGGATCTGAGCCAGCACACTGTGTACCTCCTTGGGCATCAACCCTGACTTAGATCCACTCTCAGCTGCATCAGAGGTAGCATTCTCATCCAGCCAACGCTGCTAATATAGGGAGCTGCCCTGCATAGGGGTGTTTTGGGAGGGCACATTGCCTTATCCTCTCCTCTCCCTCTCACTTTCTCTGTATTTCACTTTGCCTTCTACCATCGGGGTCAAAATAAGCAACCTTTGAGAGAAAGAATCTCCCTCAAGCTGCTGTTTGCACCTCCATGTTCACAGCAGTAATTATGAGACCAAATGACAAAGGGCAAGGGAAGCAGCTGGGACTGGCCAACTAATTCTCCAACTAATTAAATTATTTCCATGGGGACAGCTATGGTTGCTAATTTAGATAACAAAACACACCCCTGGGAGATTGACTGGTAATGATCAGGAGCAGTGTAGCATCAGTCTAAATGCTGAACTTAACTTCCCCCAATACTGAGTGTTTCAGAAAAACATTTTTTAAATGAACACATTAACTGAGCAATCTAATTTTCTATCTTTGAGCAAAGTCCTAAGCCAGCACAGTGCTAATAGAAATCAGCATGCTGTAACTTTAATTTCACAACTGGGTATACTTCAGAGTTGACATTCCTCAGCATGGAATTACCTTCAAAACAGTCTGAAAGACATTTCATTATGGTCTTCAGTGAGATTACTCAAAACACTGGAGGGCTAAATGTGTGCTCCAGTGCCTTACTGACATGGGGAGATAGAAATAATAATAGGAAAAATAGGTAGAATTCATATTGAAAGAGGAAACCACCTCATCACAGTGTTTCCTTGCGTTTCACCAAAGGTCTGTGTTTCTAAAACAGCTGTCCAGGGGCAGTAACACAAAGTTCTTGCAATTCACAGCAGGTAAAGACAACTGCTCTGGAGCTATTCTCTGTAATAGCGCTTTAGGAGATTAACTCAGGGAGGACAGTTAATCTCTACTCCGACAGTAATTCTTAGAAACTGGTTTCACCACCCCTGACCATGACAGTTGAGAATAATGGAAATGTCTGCAAAGCGACCAAACACTCATCCAGAGGACAGTAACAAGCCAAAAATGCTTCCCAACTACAGAGCACCCAGCATGTGCTCTTCCTCAAGCAAGGAGGAGGAAAGGGGATGCCAGGGTAACAAGTGCCAAACAGACAGATGCAAATAAAGTTATAAGTGGCAGATAGCTCCAGGTTACTGGCAGGACTGAGACTTCCAGTGCAGCTGGGTCCTGAGCCATCACATTTTTCCACTGTAAGAGCTAACGTACCTTAGAAAGCAGAGGCTGCCTGCAACACACACAGAGGAGCCAGGAGGAGACCAGCTGGTGGTATTCCACATCCACCAGATTGAGGTAGATAAATCTGCTGCCAGCTTTCTGAGGCCTCACACCAATGTACAGGTCCTGTACTCCGTTTGGAGGGAGAATAAATACGCCTTCTGGGTCCACCTGTAGAAATAAATACTATGGAATCACAGCAACCTGCAGAGGCCCAATGTTTGCCAATGTCTGTCTGTCACTCAGAAGAGAAACGATCAAAAAGTTGCATCAGAACCTCAAACAATATTGTGTTGACAACTATAGCCCCGACAGCCACGCTGTGTGATACAGGCCTGTTCAGGCTGTTTTGTATCACAACTGTAAGGAGAAACTAAAAAAGAAAACAAGAGGATGGTCTAGACAAAAAGAAAACATGGTATCAGAGATGCTTTGCTCAAAGTTACCCCCACCATCTTTGGGAAATCATCACATAAGAAATGGTGGGGGAATAAAGGAAGACAAACTTTTATGCAGATCATAGGAACGCCTCAGAAAAACCAATCTAGTGTCCCTCGGCAAGTAACAGCTGGGATCAAGTCTACTGCACCTTCATAACGTCAGGTTGGAATATAAATTAGACACTGATTCCACTTAGAAAATGTGCACCTATGACGCAAATATTAAATACCACCTACATTAATAAACTGGGACTAACTTTATGTTAGAAGCTTTATGCCAATGCTAATTTGAACTTTGCTTAGTCAAATGAATGCTAAAGGTGTATTTACCAACAGCTAGACCTTTTTTCTGTATGAGGAATGTTAACCCTTATTACTTGCTTTTGATTGCTTGCTGTAGGATCAAAAAGTATTACTGTCAGAGTGCCATACGTGATATGTTAGACGTAATACAGAGCGTGGACAGTCTGCGCTTTTTCCTTTTGATGTTATATACTGTACAGTTACTGATGTTTCCTTCACTCTAAAAGGACACGTGAAAGCCTACCAAGGGTGACTGTTTTTTTTAAAAAAAAACAAACAAAAACACTCAGCCTTTGTAAAAATCCTACAGATGCTTAAGAACTTCTCTGCGATACAATACCCATTAGCAGAACATGCCTGGCTCTCTAAGGAAAGATAGGTTGTGTGTTGCTGGAGTTTCTGACTGGAGCCAGTAAAAAGACCTTGACATATTAAAGTAACTGACTTTTTAGCTTACTAACAGATTCTAAACCAGATAAGAGACCCACGCAGCATGGCAAGGCAAGCAAAGAGCAGGGTTTAATCTCCCAAGAGAGACAATCTTATCTGGCAGGTCTGATGCTTTCCTCAGCTGCTAACAAGCAGAGCTTCCTCACCACAGCCCAAAATCCTCACTCCAAGATTAGGACACTGCTGGCCCTTTTTCTGAAGGCAGAGCCCTGCACAGGCTGCACTGCTTGGTGAGAGACCTCTACCCAAGACCATGTAATTCATCACAGGGAAGTTTCCTTCACTCAGCTCTGCTTGTGATAGCAAGGCCTGTGTTTTTTCCAAAGGGCTCCTCAACTCGGACAGCCTCTGTGGTTTGTCAGCCAGCCGGACCCCCAGGGCTGGATTCAGTCCTAGCAAGCGCTCCACATCCCCTCAGCTCTTGCGCAGGAGCCAAGGAGGTAGAGAAAGCAGGCTGCAAGTGTCTGAGGCTGAACAGCTGGAGTAAGAGGAATGCTATTTTGGGGTGATACTTCAGAGTACACAGGAAAAAGGGAAGCCAGTTTAAAGGCAGGCAGCTAGCTCTAGAGCACTGGGCCATAATGCAGCCTGAAACTCACTTTAGCAATACCTGCCTGTTGGCAGCATTGCACCCCTCCTTAACAGCAAGCTGTTGAATCATTTTTTTTAAGTGAAAAGAAAACAAACTTGTGGTAAACAAACTCCTCAGCTCTATGGGATTCATACCCCTGTCCTGTTTTCAGGAGGAGGGAGTTCAGCAATAAGGCTTTTTCTTTTTTTTTAATGGGACATTAACAGAGGTTTTGTGCTTTCACATTCACAATTATGACTAAACAAATTCTAAAGAAATTATTAGTCTTCAGATAGTCTCATTAATGCAGATAATTTGCCCTCTGGGGTTTTGTACCACTGATTCTACACATGGCGGCTTTAATCAAAAGATAATTATCACAAACATTTTATGGAAGTAAATTGTTCATAATTCCAAATGGGATATGTTTCATTGCAAGGGGTTATTTCCACTAGGATTGTCAGCAAAAGCCCACTACTAATTATAGTTCTGAAGGATTTCAGAAACCTTTAGTCACCCTGCTGTATAGATTCTTCTAACTAAAAAGCTCCTCTTTGTTCTGAGGAAGGAAAGCTGTGTTAGAAGAAAACAGGCTCAGCTCAGTGGCTAGGGTTACCTTCAGCTCGTGGGGATGTGAGGTATATGCCTTCACCTTCCTGATCGCTTGGGTGCCCCTGAGCACCAAGGAGAGGCGGGTCAGCTGCCCTGTTATGCAGCTAACATCCACACGCTGCAGGGAGTGAAGGTAAAATTGCCAGATCTGGATGGGAGCAGCAAGCCAGGCATCCCTGGAGCAACAAAAAAAGATGCATATCATGGCTTTTAGAGGAGACATTGGCAAGATGCTTTCAAAATGACTTAACGCAACGTAAAACAGGGACTTAGGCCTCTATGCTAAACACCTTCACTAGAACAAAACCTTCACAGACAAAAGCATTTTGCTTGGATACAGGCTTTGGCTGCCCAGAGCAGAAGGCTGAAGAGCAAGAGAGCTTACTCTCTTGGGCAAGAGAGCTTGTTTCAGCCTAACAAATTTCTAAAGCTAACCTAACACTGTCATCTGATGTAGAGATCACCCATCTGGCTTTTAATGGGTGAGCTTGCATACTGGAAACTGTCTCGCCATGGGAGACAGTTTATTTAGAAAAAAATAAAATATCTAAGAATTTTTTTCAGATCTTCCATACCAAGCCCAATCTTGCAAACAGATATTTCAAAGCAATCAGGAAGCCTTCCGTCCAGGTTTCTGCTTGTCAAAGAAACGTCAGATATGGGAAACCGAGCAAGAACCTCCACACGAATTCTCTTTTCTGCTCTGTCATGCTCTCTGGGTAATTGTTTCTTTTACACTTTCTGGATTCTCCTACTTACGTATAAATAGCAACAAAGAATTTTTTGATCTGTGGGCTTGGTCCTCCAGCTACTTTTAAGAACACGTCCTGTGGTTCCCCAGGACCCTGAGTAGAAAAATCAGAGCATCATTAGTATAGTTAACCTAGAGATCAAACCAGCTAATGAGGACTCCAGGGTTTCTTTTCCCCTAAAAAAAATCATCCCATTTATGAAAGCAGAAGTTTTCAGGATCCAGTTAAACTATTTTATTAAGTTATTATACAGCTTGGATGAGCTCTTGCAGTATCTTTAATTACGAAAGAGGATACAAATGACTATCGCATTCCAGGTCTGCATCTGTAATTAAATTTTGGCAAATTTTCCCCACGTTTTCTAACAAGCCATAATCCAATTACCATACTAACGCATTTCTGCAATGCCAATTAGCAAGTTCCCTTCATTACCATCCACATTTATATGCACAAATTTATTTTTCATTTCAATCTCAACCAGCTGAAAAGAAAGCCCAGGAAACTTAAAATCTTGGCTAGAAATTACAAAACAAAAGCTGCACTTGGGAAGAAACACGAAGTGACTTAAGTCATGAACTTTCTGGGTTTGGTCAAAAAAGTAACCAGGTAAAGAGATCAGTAGTAATTTTCAATGTGTTTTTGCATCAAGCCAGGAGAGAAACAGGCCAAAACAGATCTTGAAATATTTGCACCACAGGAAAATATTAGAAAGCAATCAGAAGGATAAGCATGCATAAACATACATATATATCTCACTCTCTTGTTCTACCTATATGTCCCTTCTCACCTTGGTAGCATCACACATCAGAGAAAAAATGGTCTAGCTTTGGACAGCAACTATACTGTTCATTTACAGAGGACACATTGTTATTCCACTTCACTCCCTCCCAACAGCTGTATACACTCCCAGTTAGACAAGAAAAATGTATTTGTAGCAGCTTGATAAAAGGCTCCTTTTCACCAGCATTTTGAATCATTTAGTGTTTCCGCAAAAGGACAAGCTAGTACAGGCTGCTGCATGATGTGATAAGGTGCAACTTCAAGCTTCTGCTGCAAAAATAAGGCAGCTCATTTTAATTGGGAAAAAGGCCAATTTCAGTTTAATAAAAGCCAGGATTTCATCACTACAGACTGATGAATCTAGATGCTACCATTGGTGGGAGGCATTTCTGTGCTGATTAAAACAAACCCTAGAAGCAGGATACACTCAGACATCAGTCTGACTTTTGTAACTGGTACCATATGTTTGGTTTCACAAATGATGTTAGGGTCACTGCAGCGAACATACATCTCGGGTTCCCCAGCTGGCATCCCTGCCGGCGCACCTAGGAAGAAGAAATACGTGAGATAAATAGGGAAAATGCTAATGCTTCATTACTACTATTTGCTATTTTGCCTACTCTACATCACCACACTGCCATGGAGAACCAGCCATGAATCAGAATCCCTTATGCTAGGCTCAATTATTTGGTGGCTACCAGTTCAACAACAGATGATAAGCCCTGATGTGAGGGCCTAGAAGGACGTCATACGAGATGGGTAGGTCATGAAGACCTGAGAAAGCAGAGAGTTTGATGGTAGCAGCTTGCTCCTTGAGATGCCACCTGCACCTTCAGGAAGGCCTACTCATGTTAAAATTGGCTGCAAGAGTGATGGAAGCTTATTAATTAGGTTTATTCTATTATCATGGAAAGGAAGACTTCAAACCCCACAGTCCCATGCAGTATTTTCAGTCTGGTCCTTGGTGAAGTGAAGACAGTTACCTGGAAGAGTGTGCCATGGGGGCAGCCGTATGGCCTTCTTCAGAAAGGTCAGCTCTGGGTGGTAGAATCGGAAGGTCTGGTCCACAACGTGGGGCTGCATTTCCACCTTCACCTGGAGAATTGCAATGGGCTTCCCGGCACTCACTTGAAAAGAGACCTGTCCAACACGTCAAAGGGAGAAGGAAAAGCTCAGGGACAGACAGAAAATTATTCAAACAGCACAACATCATATTACACAGTCAAGGGACAGCAGCCGTACCACTCCCTGAGACAAGCAGTGAGTATGGAAGCCAGTTCTCAATCTGTTGGCAGTAACTGCTATGAATACCACAGGTTCTAAGATGCTGTTAAAAGAATTTCACGATCATAAAAGCATGATCATTGTAATTTAAGTGTGCCAAAGGAATTATTGGGAAATGAAATCACGTAGGTTGAGAGCAACAGTTTTGCAAAAGTAACTGACAGAAGAACAGGAAGCATTTCAGCAAAGCAGATAGAGGATGAGAATGTAAATAAAAATATCTGTGCTTTGTAAACACGGCACTTTTGCTTGCTACATTTGCTGTGGCGTTATTGGCTGATGCTGAGTCTCTTGCTCTTTTGTATTCGTTTTCTACACGCAGATATTTGGACCCCAATTGTGCTTGCTCTTCATGGAAATATTAAAGATCTTATTACCTATACACCACCCTGCAGGTTGATTTCTGCAGCTCTGCATGACAGCACAAAAGAGAAAAGAGTGCTCTTGGCTCCCAGCACACAGACATGGAGGAAAATTCAGATACCTAGCTCCTCATCGTAAACTTGCTTCTGTAAGGGGGCATTTAAAAATACTCCAGTAAGTGTAGGTTTACTCTGTGCCCCACTGAAGTGAAAGTCTCTAAACTTTCAAGTCCACATCAGCCTACTCAAATGGCATTTTCCCCCAGTTTACTCACTTTGATGTGCTTTGTCAGTGTGGCACCAGATTTCCAAAGGGAGGAGGTGGCAGCATCTTCACCAACACTCAGCCCCACGGGCCCCTGCTAGACACACAAAAGCAGTTTTATCTCAGGAGGAAGTACTATTATGTGCAATCGATATTTTCTTTGGTAATTTTATCACTCACTCAGTATAAGCCTACAATACAAAAGAAAACAAAGCAGAGGGAGATGATTATTGGTACAATTCTCCTCTAGGAAAACACTCCCCTCAGACTGGGACAGTACATGGGACAGCTCCACCACCCAGGAGGTGGGAAGGTAGGGCCTGTGAAGCACAGGCTAGCCAGTTCCATACCACTTTGTGCACCTAGAAGTCAGGATGTGATATTAAAACTCCTGGGATAGCAAATCTACTCCCCTTCGTTGGACTCTCCTCTGAGCTTTTGAGGAAGGGAGAGCTGTTTTTCTGCTTCTTCACGTTTTCTCACCGCTCATAGCTCTGCTAAAAATCTGAGTCACGTTTGTGAACATCATGCACCAGGTGACAAGGAGAGGATTCTTAGCATTGGCAAAGAGAGCAAAGATTCACATGCTAGAGTTCAACGAGCGCTACTCAGTGGCAACGTTGGCCCATTACTCCCAGCCCTGGCACTTCCAGAGCTACCACCTGGCGGTCACACTGCTTCACCTCACTTCTGTTCTTTACTACCAGGATAGAAAGAGGAGCAGAGGCCATCATGTGGACAAAATTTAATTCCTGAAGTGCAGCTAAGGGTCAAACTCATTCTATCAATAGTTAAAAGAAAGGTTGCCTAACATCTTTGCACAGCACTGGGAAATACAAGATCGATTAAAAGACATAGGAGAAACTTCCCTAGGAGCTGGCATTCTGCCCTCACAATTCAAGGGTTTCATTTGGTTATTGTGTTTTTATCAGGGCAAGAAGCAAATCAGATTTCCCCAGGTGACCTCAGCAAGCAGAATTTTTGCTCTTCTGCAGCCACTGCAGACGAAGCAATTTGGAAAAACAAGAACGAATGCAACTTCTTTCTTTCTGATTTCTGGGCAGTGTGTTCAGTCTTCTGGCTCTAAAGGCCACCAGAAGAGCAAACACCACAGGCACCATACTCTGCCAAAGACAAATCTGAATGTTTTTTAATGTGAAGATCTGATACTACTTGCCTTACATCAACTCCCTCCTAAACAAAATCGCATTCCTGTTAAGTTTCTGGAGTGTAATATCAACTACTAGAAGCAGAAGTAAGGGAAAAGCACAGAAAACAGCGTAAAAGGTAGTACATGTGAAGCCAAGACATACCACCTGCTTCCTAGCATAAAACAGGATTTAAAACAGGCAGAGAAAGGTATACAGCTAGCATCACGTTTAGAACTGCAGAAAGGCAGCAGGAGACTCTTCCTTCTTCCTGTTATTGGTACTATGCAATAGCACCTGAGCAGTGCAGAGGATTTAAGTATACCTGCATTATGACTGTGGGGTCCACTGAGAAGGTCTGGTATTTAAAGGGGATGTGAACGGTCTCTTTGGGGCGCAGATAGACCTGAGGTCTAAGGTCATCATGAAGGTGGAACATATCCTCTTCTAATGGAGTAACAGTCTTGGTCAGCTCTTTGAAGTGCCTCCATTCCCTTGTGTCTAATATAATGCTGGAGGAGTGACAAGAGTTACTGTGAGGAGAGGACTGCTCAGGGGCTGATGTCAGCCCTCACCTCCTCTACCTTGCTCCCAAAGCGTGCCTGGAAAGCACTCTGGCGTTAAAGCAAGGAAGGGGTAAAAAGCATGTACCTTCCTGCCAGTGGGGAAGGACACCCAGCGCACTCCCCTGAGCTCTCCCTAAGGCAGGCAGGGACAGCTGCCCCATCACAAGGCTGCTCCATACCTTGTCTTTTCAGCTCATGTCGCCCCATCCCTTCGGGCTGGTACCAGACCAATGGGAAGAAAACAGGGAGCACAGAGTAGGTTCTCCCAGTACAACAGAGTCCAGACCTACCTACGGATGCCCCCATTTTAAGTAAGCTTCAAAGTTTAGACAGACCTACTGCCTTCCTACTGGTAAAGGTCTTGTCCCCTGAGCCTCCCTGGGCAGCACAGAGACCACAGACACACACGGGGGAACAGAGTCTTTGGCCACTACCTGAGCTCTGGGTGGTCAATCTCAATCGTCACCGTATGCTGGACATTGTAGGGGTTTTTCAGTGCAAACTCAAAGAACTCTGCTGTGCCCAGCATGGCGTACACAGTGTGGGTCGTGGTGATGGCCTGGCGGAGCATGTTGGAGATGCTCTCGGCTTTGATGCGCTCCCGGTAGGTGTCGATAATCTGCAGGTCCCGGGAGTGCTGGAGGCGCTGCTCATGACAGCCCTGCGAGTGAGGCAGAGACCGTGAGCGCAGTCTGTGCCCCTCGGTGCCTGCCGGCAGAGCAGCCCCTCTGCATGCCCTCCACCTCATCCCTGCTGCACGCGGCCCGCTGCCGCCGTCCTCACCATGATGTAGAGTTTCCTCCCACTGCCATCCTCCTCCTGGGCTTCCCGCTGCCGCACATATGTTCTATCCGTCATTGTGATTGATTTTTTACCTAAGAAAATGGTTCTAAAGAGCAGCATAGAAATATGCATGACACACACCCATTGCTTTATTTAAACAATATAGCTTATTATCTATGAGGATGATATTGGGCATAATAGCTGAATCAATTGGTTTAGAAATGCATAGAATATGAGAAGCCAGTAAGATTTCATCATTAACCATCCAAACACTGATTTGCTGTTGAAAGTCAGCATTATTCTGTGGTATAAATGTAATAGAAAAAAATTACGGTATTCAACTGCTTCATGAAAGCAGTTAGGCTAATTGTTACATGTTAAGCTTTTAGTTTCAGGACTGGAAGGGAGGCCTGTGCTGCCTAGGATGTGAAACAGGATCATACAGGAAAACCCTGGGCCTTCTGCTACATTAGACACTGACAACCGAAAACAAGGAAATTCAGTAAAATATGAGGTTGCTACATATTTTTAGGCACCGACCCAGCAAACACTGGGCTCAGAGCATTTGCAGCAGAGGGAGCGTGATGGGGCTGCCATCTCACAGTTAGATAGTCCAAAATACAACTGGAACAAAATACTGATTCAGCAGTAACACAGACCATTTCATGACAACAGAAACGCTGGACTGAGGCCGCTGCGGGGGACAGAGCCTGAAGCACCCGCACTTGGGCCTTGGCTCTACCTTTGCCACCTTTAACAGCACCCAGGAGAGACAAGCGAAGGGCTGAGCTCAGCCGTGGACCAGTAGGACTTACCCACTTCCGTGCCCAGGGAGAACAAGCTGCCACCTCGAAAGCCGCTGGCACTGTCCTGCGAGGGCACAATGCGGGAGCGGGACGGGGGCAAGGATCTCGATTTCTGCAGCGTCTCCTCGCACAGGTGGCCTGCCACAGAGCAGAGATTGCAGGGATAAGCACCTGGTGGCACCATGCCGCGCAGCAGGCCAGTGCTGCAGTAGCCAGCCCTGATTAAAAGAGCTAAATAGAATGAATATTTGTGAATGATTTTACTGAAAACCTAGCCTGATATTTTATAGCCCCCAAAATCTGTTAGAGTGGCTAAGGAACGGCTTTCACTTTCATTGGGAGGGGCCTAATAAAGACAACCTCAGTAAAGATCAGTCAGATCCTATAATGAATGTTGCATTTGACTCAAACTATGAGCACATTACTTTTCCTAGCATTAATAAACTTCCTTTTAATGAATTACAAAACATGTTAATGTGGCAGAAAGCCTTTTCTCCATGAATCATTTCAATCTATCTGCTTGCTTTGCAGAAACTAGACTAAAGCAAACACGCAACATTCACCCGCACGCACATGTCTCCTCATTGTTTTGTGGTGTAGTCTGTCTTGCTTTTAGTTACACACTGAATATTTTAATTCTTATTAAGCTACAGATGCTCCATTCTCTAAAGCAGAAAATGGAAAGTAACCAGAAAGCTATCAGAAATACCACTTTTTCCCCTACCTAAATGCCACCTTGGCTTCCTCTTCAGTCTAGGCTCAAGGCTAGAAGCTAAAGGCCTGCCCCCTCAGCAGCATGACTGAGGGACGGGGTCCCCCCCAAACGCCACCTCTGAGACACCCGAGACGACGATACCCTCTTCTGCTCAGACAGGACCCAGTTCTGCTCCCCTGAGCCCGAGTGAGCCTCTTTACACTTGGGGGCGAGCAGGCCAGGCCAGCTCCACACTCCGGCATGAAGACTGGACATCTGTAGAAAGTCGCCAGCTGTCGGGGGGCATCTCACCACACCCTGTGCTTCCGAGATGCCCAGGCGCAGACAGCATGCCCGGCACAGCAGGGAGCACTCTGCAAGCTCAAAGGCTCCCATTTTGGCTGGCATCTCCTTAGTCCCGCTCCCCACCACGATGGCAAGCAGACTGGGAGATCGCCTGGGGATTTTAGTCTGGCCACACTGCGTGCAGGAGAACTGGATCTGGGATAGTTCCTCCATCTGGTTCCCTTCAGCACCTTCCTGCACCAGCCGTGCTCCAGCTCGGATCTCTCTCCCCCTTGAATACTCCCATAAAACATCATGCAGCAAACTGAAGAAAGTCTTCATACAAAGCCAAAAGCATCTTTCTAAACTCATGGCCCTTCAACAAAATAAATCAAAGAAGATATCTTTAGGCTTTTTTGCATGCAAGTTACTTTGATTGTTGGCAGACAGGAACATTCAAAGATCCTTGCTACAGATAGTGCAAAAACCTTCCTTCGCTTGCCATTGTAGTGAAGAGAAGATTTAAGGAGCAGAGGCACTGTGCAGCCACAGATGCAATTCCACACATATATGCCTTGATGCTTCAAATCAAGTTAAAACAATCCTGAAATAATTGGCAGATGCACTTTTCCCATTCAGTGATGGCCTCACAGGAACTTTGCAAAATTTTGTCAAAGTTTAAAAGCTTTGCTGAAAAACGAAATTAAACTCAAGACTTCAACTGAATCTTTCCTCCCACTTCTAATCCAGCAACTAAGCCATTTCAATTTGGAATATACGTCAGCAGCTTATGAAAATGGACTGTAGCTGAGCAGGCCAGCACTGCAACCAAAGCCCACGACTAAAATACAAACTCCGATTAGGCACACCTAAAAATGGTTCTTTCTTCATCAAGATTGCATAGGAGATAGTCATGAAAACACAGGGTATCTCCATATTCATCGTTATTGCTGCAGAAAGTATACACGAACTCAAGCCAGCATAGAAAGAAAGGGAAAATATCCAGTGCGGATTCATCTATTAGGATGTACTAGAAAATAATTTTTCTATGTATTTTTTTCTACTTTGTTATAAAATCTAATAGCAAATTATATCCCCACCATAGATTTTTAGAGACAATTTAGAAATAAGCAGCAGCAGCAATCCCTTTGCTTATTACATTCTATATGTTTTATGGTGTTTTCTCTAGAATCCTATTGCCATTAGACTTTATACAACTTCTCTGTAAGAGATAAGACAGCTTCCTACTAAAAAATGATGTGGCCATCGCAAGTAATTTACCACTGATCTTTGGAACAAATTGTGATTTTAATGTGTGTTTTCTGAAGTGTCGATAAAAGTTCCTGAGTTTCTGGAACTCCAGTAGGTGGCTAGTAAGATGCACAATTATTTCCTGGGGACAAGTGTTCTGCCACTGGGAAAGTGAGTTATTTTAACGTTATTTCTCTCACGCCTACAAAAACTGAACAAAACTAGCCCTAGCGCTGACCTGTCTATTGTCTTGTCTCCTTTCTCTTGCTGTGATTTACATGCACGTAAAGGTTATTCCTAGCTGCGTGGGATGAGGCTATGAAGCTGTCTGTGTATTTACCTAACCCCTAAATCTATTCTCTGTCCTTCAGGTAAAAGCCTGGCAAAAGCCGAGTCCTGTGCTGCAGTTCCTCCCCAGGGAGAGCGGCTGCTCTGCAGATGCCATCTCTGAAGACCCAAACTTTCATATTTGAAACAGCCTTGTTGGTCATTTTCCACACCTCCAAAAACTAGGAAAAGTGTTCCTGCTCTCAAAGATACGATTTAGCTCTAACCCTAATCATCTCTGCTATTCTCCGTGAATGAAAAAAATCAGCCACTATGAACTTTAAAAGCTTCACCTTTTTCACTGCAGTTTTAGGGCACAGAGTCAACTTAAAGACGTGAATTTCAAATGGAAAATATTAACCTCTGTAATGGGCAAGACTACTTAAAGCTGTAGAACTCAGGACATTTCTAGGGTCCTCTCTCCTGTGCATTTGACTGCAGCCCGTGTTTAATCACTGCTGCTGTTTCAGTGCCATCTTTCTCTCAAGTCTTCCACACAAAGAGGAGAAGAGGAGCATTTTAAGACACAAGAAAGCATGGTACAGATCTATGCAACAGGACTCAGAGCACCACCTGAAATTACTCCGCATTCCCTCTCTACAAGAGACATACTTTTCAAAACAATGGCTCCACTCTGCATATGTTCATTGCAAGACCACAAATAGGCACCTGCATGAAGTCTTGAATGAGCAATATATTTCTTTGTCCAATTTCTGTTTCTTCTGAACAGCCCAATAAGCACCTTGACATTTACAAAAAAGGCTCTTGTGCTTAATGCCTTAATTCAAATTTTATAAAGAACTTTTTAAAATGTACTAACATTACTTTGTAATTATTTAAAAAAAAAAACCCACACACATTCACACAGGCAGAAAAATCAAAGGGTAGCTGTTGTCCTGGTATGTTGTATTTTCCTTCTCCTTTGCTGGGTTTGAGCTAAACCTCTCTCTGGGTTGTGAATCTCAGATTGTCCTTCCCAGGAGCTTATCATACTTTTGCAGGCAAAATATGAAAATGACAGTTTAAGATATCTTATAATGGAGCTAATCTTTCTTCTGAAGATAAGATTTTAAAACCTGGAGTCACTGTGCATTTATAGGCCAGTAAATTAAACAAAGAAGTATCCAGTACATTCTGGGAAGAATAAGAAAATCAAGCTTGTAAGAACATTATAGGTACAGCTTTCCGCATGCTGCCTGTTTCTCCTGCGTCTCCTTGCTATTTGCCAGCACCTAATTGAGTGTCACTGTTTCCATATTGTCTGTCTCAAAGCTGCCTTACATTGGACACTTGTAAACAAGCAGGCAGAAACAACTGGAAAGAGAATTAATGAGCTGTACATGTCTACCTCTTTCTGCAGCCTAATGGTATCCTGAGCCTAAGCAGAGCAGGATCACACCAGGCCTGGGATTTACAGCTGTGCTGGTTTCTCAAGCACCTAAAATTCCTCTGAGGAGCTGGAGTCAGAGCTCTTGCTCAAGGCCCACCAAGCATTTGCCTTCCCCAGTCCCAGGGCAAAATCTGGGACAAATAAACCATTCCCAGGCTATCTTAGATATGCTTTCATTTTTCCAGAATAAAATCATTTTGCACATATCATGAAGGATAACTGCAGTTTTCATTCTAGCATTTTACATGCAGAACTTATACCCTGATGCTGCCCTGATCCCATAGACTCTTCTGGTACACTTGAAATACTCTGCCCAAGAAAGATGACCAGAAAAACTCAGTTTGCCCTAGAGCATGATTTCTGGACCCTCTGCTTTGGTACAGCTGCTCTAGGAAGCTATAAATTGAGCATTCAACAGAAGGCACAGATGCACTCACAGAAGCGACCCTAAAGTTAGATAGATTTTCTTTTTGTGCTGCCAACAAATAGTAGGCAAGCTATGAAAAGGGAAAAGCAAGGAAACACGGCATAACCCAGAACAACGAGGAGCCCGGAACTGAGATTGAGCTAGCCAAGAGCCTGCTGCATTGCTAAGGGCCGCACTTCTGCTGAGTTTCTAAACGTCTGGGGTTAGGAGCAGTTCACAACCCCATGGAGAGCTGACCTCAGCCCTGAAACACTCTGGCAGCATTCCTTGTGGCACAAGTCTGGAGCTGGGCTTTCAGTAGACTGTTTGTCAATGTGCAGAGAGCCATCTGTAACAGCATCCCCCAATAATAAGGCACTGCGAGACACCACAGAGAAGGCCACTGGGGTTGCTTCTAATTTGGCTCTGCTACCGACTGATGGACTAAAACAATAAAGTAAAACATGGTAAGGCCATACTGAGGGCCATAAATTCCAGCTAAGTACTTGTGCCTAGTCAGCACAGTCAAAGAGACACTCAGATAAGCAGATCAGAGGGCCCGAGTACGACAGTGAGTGGGAAGCTGCCCAGAGCCTGTCAGCGATAAACTCTGGACACAGAGACTTAAATGGCATTTAGACTATCAGAACATGAATCTTAACATCTGATCTTTTCAGAGATGTTTGGCACAGCAGGTGCTACTAACCTTCACTCGAATCAGTTCCGGACACAGTGAAGGTAACCAACAGCCCCACCTTTGCACCAAAGCTGGGAGCATTCAGCAGCACAGACCCTTTCGGCTGGAAATACAAGCCTCTACCACATCCCTCCGGATACAACATCTGGGGAGCAAATCTCGCCTATAGGAAGACTGTCAACTGGGCCATAGCTAGAAAAGCAGGAGCTGGCAGTAGTCAGCAGAGTACAGCCCACAACAGACATGGCTGGAGAACACTCAGAAACCTCAGGCCTCTCTGGCAGGGAACTCAGCAACTCAGGCAGAACACCTGAAGCTCTTACCAACATTGGCCAGGCAGAGGTGAAGTCGCCCTTTCACGACAACGTAGACACCAACAGGCCGCACCGCGCCGTGTCTGAGAACGTCCCCACCCACCACTGCCACGTCCTGCTCATATTCAGTCGCTGCAACCTCCAGCTCATGGTGGCTCCTGATGGCTGTCCGACCCTGGCGGAGCAGGTGCTGTGGAGCAAAGCAAAGAGCAGTGCAGTGCATGCCTCTGAGGCTTCCATCTGGAGCAAGGAACTCTCAGGACAGAGCACTGCTATGCTTCACGTGATCTGCTGGAAGTTTTAGGGAAAAGATCCATCTCCATTTACAAAAACAGCATGCGCACTTCCATCATAGGCTGCCGTTGATGAAATAGGTAACAGTTGCAATGAAACTAAGAGGATAATAACTAGGCATTTTTTAAATCACCACTCCAGATAACTCAGATCTAGATGTTTCTAGATTTCTTAGCTCTTTTTTATACAAGAAGCCTTAGAATACCGTGAAAGTTCCAGAGAACTGGAAGAAAGTTAATGTTTTGCCATCACTTTCAAGGATAACATGACAAATCCCGTGATTACAGATTTGTCAGATTGACGGTCTCAGTTAAACAAGAGAATGGCTGATTAAATCTTGATTATTAAAGACTCAAGGGTAATATAACAACGATGCAACACAAGACAAAACAAAAAGCCCAGTCTCTTCCTTAAAATTCTTGTCCATGAAGCAGGGATTCTTCATCATTAGCAGCTGTTAAGGCTTTAGGAGAAAGGCTTGATACCTTCAATTTAACTGCAGTCGACCCAACAAGAAGCAAAGAGTCTCCATCCCAGACGTCAATCTGAAGACTATGGTCAGCCAGGTAACATATAAACCAGCGCTGTTCTCCAGGTTTCAGGAAAGCAGGGTCCACCATATACTTCAGCTGCAACCCTGGAGATCCTGCAAAAGGTGTGCACTCATGAAAATTTGCAGGCACTAGCACATGGCTGTAGCCACAAGATCTGGGATACTTTTCCACAGAGAATCCTGCCTGATGATAAATTCATTCTCATAAGGCTGTGGGGATTAAGGAAAAACCCATAATCCCATTGCATGGCTGAGAACAAGCCTCAGAGGCATCGAGCTGCCTAAGCTGAATCAGTATCTCTGGGACACAAAGACGCACAGCGCCCACTCCTCAGCACCGAGACCCTTCCTCTTCTGTGCAGGTGCTGTTTCAATACAATAAACCCATCAGTTAATTAGTAACTTCCCGCTTCAAACAGAGAATGACATCTACTCACAGCAATACTCAGTTTGTATGGACCTTTCTCCTCAATTTCCATTAATAATTCCACATGGAAAAGGAACATTATCAAGTAAAAATGCTCTGCAAGAGATAGTATATTGGCTTGGTGCCTCTTGGGACAAGAATTTAATAAGATAGAAAAAAATGCATTTTGCTAGGAGAATCAGATTAGGGCAAACTGTCTAGAGTAATCTAATGTGTTGCATGGCTTCTTAAATACACTCAGCTACAACTGGAGTCAGCAGTCTAGATATCTGAATCTAGACACCAATACTTACTGATGCTTTACTTTAGGGTTTGACCTTTTGAACATTTTTAATTATATGCCACAAACTAATGGAAGCCTGCTATTAAAACAGATACTAAGTCCATTCCCTTGACCTGGAGACAAGCCTAAATCTGGTTGACAAAAGCAGCACTCGAAATACTTTTTGTTGTTTAAACTTCTCAGGTGGGTTTTCCTCATACAGTAACATAATAACATAGCACACACGCAAAACAAAGCAAAACGCCAAGTTTACTGACGAACTACACGAAAACTCCAAACAGCAATAAAATTTCAGTATTGATGTACTTGTAAGCCCTGGGGCAAGGGCTAGTGAACAGTGAGAATTCTATGCTTTATAAATATATCTAGGTTGCAGGCCTTTGAAGCAAGTGTGTCTCCTTCAGTTGTCAGCAATAGATATTTCAGAGGAAGGAATAAGAGAGGCAACATGACAAGCAAATACAGAAAGAGATGATGTACACTTCCCAAGGCATAATAGTTTTCTGTATATGCAGTTAATCAGTGCAGTTAATAAGTGATGGCAGAGCACAATGCTTTCTGTACCTGCCTAGCTCAGTTTTGAATTCCGCCAAGTGAGCGTTTCGAAAATGGTTCCTATAGCATTCAGTTCTACAGGCAAGTTACGCCTTGCAGGAAAAGGCACGTTACTCTGTGCCTGTTATAAATATGCTGCCTTTCAATTCCCTTTCACCTAGTCAGAGAAACCTTCACACTATTCATTCTGTCACTTCCCTTCTATTAGATTCTGTTCTGCTCCAGCATCATGCCCTGTTTTCAAGCAACTGCTAGGACCTCCAGGGCTTCTGAAGGGGACGTGCCACATGAGGACACTAAAAAGCATCAGGCCCAGAACTTACCACTGCTGAGGTTTCCATCTTTGTTAATCTGGACAAGGACACGCGGAGATACAGCTGACCGGGCTGCCTTCTCATTGTCCATGTCGACCAACTGCAGCCGCGGTGTGGTCACTGGTGGAAAACGATAGAACTGGAAGGTGAAGAACACTGTCTTCGGCCATGTTACTTCTACACCATCCTGCGGAACCCTTGACCAAAAAAAGAATTCTTTTGGGCTAACTCATAATACAGTACTTCCTCCTGATCCTAAACTTGTCGTGCACTTGTCATCTACTGAGAAGCAGAAAAACAAGAGAAGATCAGTAATATCAAAAGTATTTGGATTTCTTTGAAGACAGAGGGCATATGGTTTCCCTTTGCTTTCCAAAAGCTTCTTAACTCCAGCTGTCTTCTACCGTATGCTGTGATGGAAGAGCCAAGTGAAAACAACATTTTACCTTCGCACAGCACACTGCCATCTACGGAAAAAACTGTGAACAATGCATCATCAAGACAGGACCACCCTCACAAGGAAAGTTTCTGAACTTTAGGTGTAGTTACAAAAAATTCCCACCTTAACTACTTCTTGCATCACATTATGGCTATGGTAAATAAAAAAAAATTGGAATACATTAAGAGTGCCTTGAAATAAAAATAACACCATGGTAAAAAACATTTTGGGACTTTGTTTCCATCACAGATGTTAAGAACAGCAGCACATTTACAAGGACATATCCAATTCAAACAAGAGAGCAAGTTGTGGGTAGTTTTGGAAAAGGATTGTTTCCCAAAAGGCACCTTGAATTCACCTGAAGAACGCGTCATGAAGATTTGGGATCTTACCTACTAAAAGCAAGAAATTGCAGGATTATTTCATTGCTTTGCAGAACATCAGCTTCTTCCAGTTGGGGACTGAAATTCACAGGGTCTGTGGGGTCCATGATTTCCACTGGTTCCTTGTTACAGTCGAGGATTTCTGGAAAGCCAGAGGCGTGCAAGCGAGCTAGGGAGGCACGAGTGACTATAGTGCTAGAACTGACAGAGAAATTATTTTTGAGTTTCTTGGCAACAGTCTCACAAAGCCGGGCCTTTCTTTGGCACCCCAACACGCTCAACAACACGGTTCGGTGAGCATGAGAGCACTAGGGCAACTGGCAAGGGCTGTTAAATGCCACGAGGCAGCATTGCCCTGGCAGGGACTCACCCGCTGATGCTCTGCTCAGGCCAAACCCTGCTAGGGAGCCTCACCTGCCTGCCTGCACCCCCACAGCAGCGATCGGCACCTGCAAGGGCATGAAGGGCAGCTCCCGCAGCTGGTCGCTGGTGCCAGGGTCTGGGCCTGCAAAGCCACTGCTCAGATCAGCTTCCAGGTGAGTTATTCTGCCCATGCCGCTGCCACGAGGCGGCTCCTGCTGAGAGAGGAGAGCATCCAGCTCATGGGGGCTCGTGCTCCTGGGGAAATCAGGGCACGAGGCCTGGGTTCACCCCTGCCCACACTGCTCAGGGCCCGGCTACCTCGCGGCCCGGCCAGGGGCAGGAGCGCTTCAGGAGGGGAAACCTTCCCTGCACTCACTGTGTGCCCACTTCGCAGTGTCCCGCAGGGCGCAGGATGGGGGGAGCTGGCGCTGCGCGGCAGAGCGGGCTCGCCTCGACGCTGCGGGGAGGCTGACAGCTGCGACAGTGACAACTGAAAGGAACAAGGCTATCGTGAGCACATCTGCGCCACGATCAGGTTCGCAAGAAGGAAGAAATACCACAATGCAATCTGTGCTATAGGAAGCCTCCAGGGATTAGGAGGGCCAGAAACTTCTCATTTTTAAAGCAGTTTATGCAGTTCAGATGTTGTTTGCTCTTAAATTTGGCTCGGCAACATCTCTGCTTCTCAGAGAAGCAGCACAGCTCGGTTCCTCGTCGGTTCACACCTCTGTTTCTTACTTTAGCTACCATGCTGTACTTTATTTTGCAAAGGGAGGAATAAGAAAATGCAGTAGAAAGATCAAACAGCTTAATACAGTCCTCCAAAGCATTTTGTTTCATCGAAAATATTTGTGAGCACTGATCCCTGCATCAAGATAAAAAAAGAGATAAGATATTTCAGTATTCATAGCTGCTCCTAAACCTTGACAGCTCTCCACGGAAAAATCAGGCATCACAGTCAGCATTTACCATGGGACAATAGTAGGTAGAAAATCTGGTTCACCAAAAGCTGGAGCTGCCCTTAAAAATAGTAAATTTGGAGCGTGAAAATAGCTCAGAGATTTCTGTCCAGCAAAGTATATGCAGAATTTGTTTTGCTTCCTCTGAGGATGTGGATTTTAGCAGTATGTTTAGTGTTATTTGGCCACAGTAGCCTTGAAAATTGACAGCCAATGGGGTATTGAAAATGCTCTCAGCAACTGGCTGGCATTATGCGAAGGTAGCTATTTCCAAGGAAATGTCACTGCCTGCTAACTGTGTCCAAGCAGCTCAGCAACATTCCCATGGGGACAATGCACACCCTGGGCAGGACTTAGGCAGTTTCTTCATCCAAGCAGGCCTTTTATGGGAAGAAAATCTCCCCAAAGCAGACTTACCAAGATAACTATCTTTATTAGTGGTATCGGTAATAAATTATAATGTGAATAACATCATCTGAGAAAAATGAGTGGCAGAAGCAGATACTTTAAAGTTTACCTGCTACAGTATTCTGTGCACTGGTGACTTACACGTTTTGGACTGGAGGAGCCATGCTCTCAGCGCTCTGCTTCTCCACTCCCTGTCCCCATCAGCATTTTGACCACGATACCTCCTTCATGTCTTTGCTTTCTGCCTCTCCCTAGCAGATCCAAACTCAATCATTTATTACTTAGGCCTGAGCTTTATGCTGCTGTGGAAAATATTCTTCTAACCTCCTATGCTCCTACCTCCAAACTTCATTCATCTGCTATAGATTTTAACAGCTAAACACTTTATATATTTGCAGACATTTTAAAGTCAGGAGTAGATATTTCTTTTCCTTGGGTGGGACGCAGGGGAACGCAGACAGTTCACAAGGCCAGCTACAGCCAGGGCAGCCCCGAGCACAGTCAGCACAGTCAACACTTACCCCTGGTCCCTGGCTGGAGGCCATCATCCGAAGTGAAGATGCTGAACCTGGGAGAGGCAGGAAAGACATGTTCTAGTGATGCTGCAGACGCCTGGATTCAGACACGTCAAGTGCCACAGGCTGCCTGCACTAAAGCCAGTGGCAGCTTTGCTTTTGATCAGGATCTAATGGAATACACATTCTGTTACCTATCAGTTTATTTTTCAGAGGGTTGAACCTGTGCAGTGAGATGGCCTACTGTTTCTCAGCCACTTGTTTGCCTTATCTTTCTAATAAACCTATTACCTGGGAGGGGCGGAAATGTGGCACTTCTGCAGGCTCATTGGTTAGTTTGCCAGAAATTAGGCTAAATCTGCCAGTTAGTGTTTTCCTGTTGTAAAACATAGTTCCCCTATCTCTAGACAGCACTGCAGCTTCCCTTACAGCCATGTGGTACTGGCTAAGTGGATTGCTTAATGAGACGTGAAAGTTTCAGGATACTTAAGGTTTTTGTAGCTCTTCCGTTATTTCTTGTCACTACTTTCATCTGTTCATACATTCATGCCCTGAAACTGCATGAGTTTTATTGTGTTTATATTTGGCTGGTCTACTTGTTCACTGGCACAAAATGAACTTGCTGTTGCACTAAGGAGCAAATCCTTTAGAACAGACTAGGAACACAGATGCTTTCTGGCAATGTTAAGACTATTTTGCTTTCGCTACCACATATTTCAGCTATTCCATTCCGAACATTCTCCAAAGGAAAATGCCCTGTTTCCCTTCTGCCTAAAATACTGTTTTCTTTCAATTAGAAAGACTTTGGCCATCATTAAAATGAGCATGCATAGAAATACACAGGGCATAGGAGCTGTCAGCACAGCAGAGCTACGAAAGGGTTCCCAGATGATGTGTTAGGCCCCTGATTTAGAGTAGCACAGAATGAAGCCACACGCATTGCTGTAGATGTGCTATACTAAGGTATTTCACAAACATGAGTAAAGGCAGATATAGCTCAAAATAAAGCAAAAAATATTAGCACAGCACCTCAGCAATTACTAAAATCATGTCACCTTCAAATGTTCTGACAAAGCATCCAACCATTCAGCCATCATTGTGGAACTGTACTGACCTGAAGTAATCCAAGATCTTTGTCTGTAAAACTGTCCTATAAATCTCCAGAGAAAAGCACCTATGCCGTCACATACTAGATGGGTCCGCATACACCTAGGGAACAATACCACTTACAGCAAATTTCAGGCTCTACTGAAAATGGCTCTAAAACATGCAGGAGCACAGGATAGCGGATAAAACGTCAAGCAGACTTAACTGTACCCTCAGTGGAAGTAAGAGGACAACAACTCAAGTTAGTTCACAGTTTTCTGGTTGGAGAAAGTGAGGTTCCAATCACATTTCAGAATTCAGACTGCTGCTGCCCAGAATTTCTAGAGTGCATATGATCTACAGGTGCTGGTACTCTCAGCAGTTCATAAGCCTTTCCCTAACGTCTACTATTTTGTGAAATGCAGAACACACAAGGACACAACAACAGCAAGAACGTATGCAGCAAGTACTGTTATTTGGGCATCGTCACAGGACGGTTGCTCTGTACGGCATAAAATACCAGTTTGCAGCACAACTAGTAATCAAATCAACAGAAGACATACTCAGCCTTCCTTGGCCAGAAGGACCAGATGGTAATAAGTTTTCCAATGAAGCTCTAAAAAAAAGTGAATAAAATGCTCTTTTCAGCAGCTCAGGGTACAAAATTGCTTTGGCACATGGCCTCTTTTGGAGCTGCTCACCTCACTCCATTTCTGGAACATTATTGTACTTCGAGCACTGCAAAGCAGCTGTGCGCTATCTGCTCACTGCTCTTCCAAAAGCTGCTAGAAGGAAGCAATCTGCACTGTCATGCTACATCAGTGGCCATTATTAACAGGGATCTAATCTAACAGATTGTGTTAAGTACAGCTGTGAACTTATAATTGCTGTGAACTTTCTAAATAGGTAAAATAAGCATTAGCTGTGATCACAGTGAACAAGTCAGCTCTGGAGTCAGAGACACCTGAACAGAACTGTTGGAGAATTAATCCCCGAGATGCCCAGGAGAACAGAATTAACCGATCATGTCCCAGTCAGTGAAAAGGATTGGGACAACAGCAGCCACAGGGTCTCCCATAATGTACTAGCCATTTTAAAAGAAAGCCTCACCTGTGCATTAAACAAGAGAAAGGAAGGTAGCCTCAACAGCATAAACAATCTCCCTGCGCACTTTAGGATGAAGGGCTTGAATGTCTAGGTAGTCCTTTATACAGCACATTATCACAGCCCCACTCTGTTCTGTTTAAGCAACAGTTGGTGGGACCTCAGCTGGAAAGGCCAGTGCCAAGGCAAGAAGCTGAAGGCAAGAAAGGCACCTTAAAAATGTCTCCGCCAATTATTTTCCAGCAGAGCCTACATAGTAGGGAACTGCCATTCTCAGAGCCATTGTTACGAAAAAGAAAAAAAATGGAGCAAAAACACTCAGCCAGAAGCTTCAGCTTCCCTTTGGACGGCAGCTAGCCTGATGGAAGCTGATAGGTAGGCTCTGCTCACAAACAGCACAGACCTCCACCATCGTCTGGGAGATGCGAACGGAAAGGTACCGGCACCTGATCGCTCCTCCACACACAACGGCCTGCTTTCTGCCACTGCTCTGCCATTTGATACAAGGCTCCTATGCCTGCAGCAGAAAAACAGCCACGGGTGCTGCCTCTGCTAATCCCCATCACCGCACACGCTTCCAGCTGCCTGCAAACAGGCAATGAAAGTGCATTCTGGGGCTCGCTTACGAAAAAAGAGCAGAGGACCCTGAAGGGGACTGCAAAGAAAACTGTCTGCCCGGGAGGGAGGTCAGGTAACCAGGACCTCATCTCACATCACCTTTTTTTCCTCTCCTCGGGAGGAATAAGGGCAACAGCGTTTGTTCTGCCAGAGCTGCTGTGGGCAGCCACGTCATTGATGGGGGCAGAATCGCTGAGCCCAGGATCCCCACTCAGTCAGCCCAACTCCGTGCTCTGAAACGTCTCAAAAGCTGAAGCAAGAGGGCACAAAGGGCAGGAGAAGAGCAGAGATGCTCAGTCCCACCTCTCCAATGGGGTGATAAGAGCGATGCTCTTTTTGGGAAAGGCAGGCAACCACTGCCACTCCTCCAACCCAGGTACCTCACTTCCAGGTAGCCACCGAGGCAACTTAGCTGCGACTCACAGCACCCCTGAGAACCAGGGAAACTTCACAGAGGTCATTCCCTAAATTGCCTCATCGATATCAAATATAACCACAACTTAAAACAGTTTCACTAACAAACTTAAAAGAAGGGAACCTTACCTACTCAACTGGAGTATCTTCATGGCATGGCAGAGGAGTTGCCTGTCCTTTAAAACAGTTACACAACGCTGTACATATCTTTATCTGAAGAATCTTAAGATCTAGCGATGCTTCAGAAATCTGAGGCTTTCTGCTGAGGCACACACACAATGTTACTAAAAAGAAATGCCAGCACACATACAATCTAGATTTTGCTTGCCTGTTGTCTTTCCATTGGCAAGCTAGCTGCATGAAAACTTTCTCTGTTGGTGGTGCCACAGCTGGCATCTGAAGAGGCCTGCAGCATCCCCAAAAAGGGGATAGTTTCCTGAGGGTGCAAAATCAAGTCAGAACAGACAAGCCATTAAGCCACTGAATTCGGCTTTCAGGCAAGCATGCCTTGTTACAATACCAGAAGTCTGAAAAATCTAGGGTATAAGCAGAATTGTTTTTAAATAGACTGTTTATCAAAGTTCTCCAGGAGGCTTTAGAGGCTCTTCAGGAAGCACGCATCCAGAAGAGATTACCATATTACACTACATGAGAGACTTTCCAGCTGTCTATCATATATAACGCAGCAGTAAGAGGCTAGAGTAAACGACTGTCTTCCAAGTGATGCTAAAAAGCTAACTTCATTCTAGAAAGCCTTCCTAAACTGTCTGAGACAAAAGAAAAATTAGGTTGCCAACTGCAGCAAGTTTCCAGGCCTGTTCAGAGATTAATTTTTCCTGACATCCTATTACTTCACAGGCAGTTTCTGCTCGCCAAATGCAGCTGTCAAAAAATTGTTAGGATTTTTCATTCAACATTTCCGTCACTTGATCACATAACAAAGCTCTGAAGCCATTTGCTTTTGGCAGAGAAACGACGACAGAAAAAGTCAAGCAAAGATGCAGAGTCCTCCATGCCTTGTCTGCCTGTGTGGACATCTGTATTTTTGTGCAGGGATGCGTGGGTGCCAGGTTTCTTACTGCCCAGGATCCCCCATTTCAAGGTCCACTACTTGCACTTGTCCCCAGCCTAACTCTGGCCTTACTAAGTGCTGCCTCCTCCTTTCACTGAAGATTTACTGCACAAGGAACTGGAGATTCCCAGTAACCCACTGGGGGGGAAGCCGAGGGCTCCTGCAGAAGGATGCTGGCACGCATGGAGTGCTGCTAGCATAGGAAAGCACACAGGCATTTTGCTGATGACTAGATGCAGACACGAGCTGCCTCTTTTTAACTGGAGGAATTTGCTACTCCGGGAAGTGGTGCCTGCAGGAGGACCGAGGCCACTGATGAGGCTGTTGCTCGGCAACCTGCTGCAGTTCAGGCAGAGAAATTGGGTGATGGTTTCGGGTGGCAAAGACATGGGAGGAGCAGGGAAACGAGAGCAGGGCCAGCCGCCAGGGCAGCGTGCATGCCAGTGCGAGGCAGCTGCTGGCCACCTTGGAGCCATCCGGGAGGCTGCCAAGGCACAGCCTTTGTGCACCCCTCAGGGAAATCCCAAGGATCGCTCCGCAACCTGCTAGCGGCCTGTGCACACTCCAAACAGTCACACAGGGCTCCTGGGCTGGGCGACGCAACAGAGCATCTGCATAGCACAAAATCAGCTTTCTCTACTGGCCACGAACACACATACTCGGTCAGATAAGCAGAGATCAAGCAAAAAATTGAAAATAGGTGCTCAGCAAATTAAAGGGTAAAGGGAAGAGATTTCTTACATGGACAAGTCCAGCCACATGCACACTAAAGGCAGAGGGAGCAGAGAGGCTGGCAAGTATTGTGATGCTGCCTGAAGCGCAAAAGTTTAATGCGGAGGCACTCTTACCTCAAATGACATGTTTAATGTTAACAAACAAGGAGTTCAGTGGTAAAGGCAAGAGCCTGTGAGCATGTGAATAAGCCTCCTGGGTATTCATCTGAGGCTTGTTGCTATTCATGATGCCTCTTCAAGGCAGCAGCATCACAAATACATCTTCATCTTCCAGATGTTACTTTGCAAGTTTTACAGACCAGTACTCACAGGAGGCCGGCCTCAGCCTGCCGCATGCGAGACACCCCTGACACTGGCTGTAAGGCCAGGATGTAGTGTGCTTCTGAATTTTACCAGAGAAGTCAACTGCATACCTACTCCCAGACTAGGAGGAGGACTTGTCCATCCTCTCCAAGCACATCAGTTTGTTAAACAAAAGACAGTAGCTCTCCCCACAAACTCTACTTACTGTCATATTAGAATTATTCCCTTAGAATACAAGTTCTTTGGGGGAAAGGAATAAGGCTTTGCTGGATTAAGTGCTAACTCCATGATTGTAGTGTCTGTTGCAATATAGCATTACCTAGCCCGGCTGTGGCTTGCGTGTTTGCCCCAGCTTTTCCAGAGGTAGGGCAGGTGGGACTTACAGCAGCCCCAGACAGACAGCAGTGCCTGCAAGGTCCAGACTATCAGCTACAGCAAGTTCCTCCGCAGAATAGGAGCACAATGCTATTTTGCATGCTAGCACAGTTTCCCTTGGTCCCCTACTTAAGGCTTTGGAGAGTCCCTCTCAGTACATGTTAAGATACACTTACTTCTCTTTTCACCACGTCATAGTTCACTGAATGTATTGACTGATACCAGCAGAATTGCATTTGGAAAAGTTCTTTCAAGCAACATCAGGAAAATAGCAGCCTCACAATTATATCAAGGAGAGCCTAACCCAAGATATCCCCCAAAACTCCAAACTGTTAAATCACTCCAATTGACCTTAAGATTTCTGCTTTACAACCTGTTAAACCAAATAGCCCAACCCCAAAGAGCCAGAAAGCTCTACAGCTGAAGTGGGTCAGCAGCTTCCCTGGCAAAGCCACAGTGTCACTGCCATCTCGTGGAATGACACAGCATCTCCGCAGCAGGGAGCAGGACAATGAGCCAGTGCTGCTCCCAAAATACCAGGCATTACTCAGACCCATAAGCTGAAGTGCTTCATTTAAGCTGACAGCTATAGTATCATCGGGCTTACCAGAAGAACCATATAAATTTGTAAAATATTCAAAGAGAAAAGGCTCGGCCATAACTTAAAAGCTGTTATGTATTTAAAGACTCTCACCGAGACTTGCATGGGAACACACATGAGAGTAGGAACGAAGCTGGGGAGGAAATGAGAGAAAATAAGACCTAATTCAAAGAACTTCAGCAGCCAAGTCGTAAAGTTTCATCTGTTTTATAGCTTGCCATTTATAACGTATTTCCCAGATTATGTTGTTGCGTGATAGTTCATTATACTTCAGGTTCCACCGCACATGGGAGCCAAAGCTCCCACGTTGTAAAGGGTGCGACAGTGGCGATAGCGAGATGCACAGGAATGCACAAGCCTGCAGAGCTAAATGCTAGATGCTGCAGATGACTCCAAGATGCTCCTGAACAGAGACTGACCCTAGCTTTGGGGCAGGGCAGGACAGGGCAGCCAAGCGCTCGCAGGTACAGGCCACATGCCCTCACTCACACCCATCACGTGGGCAGCACGCCGGGGAAGGTCCTACCAGCCCCAAAGCTGGTGTGCTGCACGGGGCCAGGTCTATCAGATAGCACTCCCCGAGTGTCAGGGAAGCCAACGCCCTCTCCTGGGTCTCCGCTCCTGCCTGCCAAGCTATGAAAAGATATGCTCTAGGTTTAACAGTCAGCTACAGAAAAACACAGCATGGCTCTTTCCTGGCATACAGCAGCCTATCTGAAATAAGCTGCTTGTTACTGACAGAGACCTCCGTCCCTGTTGACCAGTTCACCATTATTTGAAAGCCACCACAGAATGCACAGTCATTTGACAAAAACCAGCTGCCCAACAGGCAATTCAGCAGTTGAAACCATCACTTGTCTGTACTGCAAAGCATTTACTAACAGATGACTTTTCTGGCAGTCCCTCAAATACAAACGGCCCTATAGACTTCAGTAACAATGCCACATTAATAAGGTAATAAACTCACATATTGATGTTTAAACAGGCAGTTAAGTTGAGCACAATCTGGTTTGCACATCCATAGATGGATTGAAAAAGATTAAAACAGAGCAGAGTGACTTTCATTGAAAGAGGAACATTCTTCACTGCAGAATTCATGGTGAAACAATCAAATTATTCCAAGTCATATAAATAAGCAAATTTGTTTTCTCTTATTTATATCTCAGTCCCACATTGTACCGTGGAAAGTTCAGATAAAAATTACAAACTATGAGTTGGTTTCATGCTGATCATGAAAGAATAGAGCAGATGAAAATCCTCTCCAGCTCCTGTTCCTTTGTTTCCTAAGAGCACTAGGCATTGATTTAACTCCATTCCTAAGTCAAAGTCAATGGAAATTTTATTCCTGTCTTCAATACACATAACAGATCAGTGCTAAAAACCCTACCATCTGGTATTTTTGTGCTCTATATATCTATATATTAGATATCTTCATATGTGCATATACACATATGCACGCCTGTTTTTTTCCTCAGCTAGACCCTAGAACAGAATCACCTGCATTACAGGTATACACTGATTAAATGTGTTGTTGTCACATTTTATAAGCTACAGCTAAACAAGATTATTTATTATTCAGCCTATAATTGACAACTCTTCCATCCTCAACCATCTGGAAGGACTAAGAGTTTAAAAAGACAAGTAATGCTAGCAGCAGGAAGCAATATATTTCTGGTGTAGCTGTAAGGCTGTTCCAGGAGTTTTCAGCGGTTCAACACAGAAGCCCCCCAAATATTGTTATAATGACCTGGAATACGAATGGTTGATGACATCCTGGAAATTATTGTAATTTTTGCACATGGCTGAGTTCTGATATCACAGCTGCATTTTGCAAATAACAAGTAAAAATGAGAGTAGAATTCAAACTGATGTAAGCTTGATTCACTACGATAATTCACAAACCAGTTCACTGAACTTCATCTGAAATACTGTTTTTGCTTCTGATCAGATACTGATGCTACACACTATACTTTAAATGTCACCAATATGGAAAACACTCACTCAGAGATGGCGTAGGAGGCTTCTCTGAATCTTCTCTGTCTTTACTTAAGATGTCTGTAGAAGTCACAAGATGTTCGCCTGAATCAGTAGAAACGTGAAATTGGATAGTACCAGATTCAAATTGCTTCACCTGAAATTTTGAAGTGAAGTGAAATGAAATAGTTTTTAAAAGAAAACGTGCTATGCACATACTCTTTCATATCTCCGAAAAAGAGAACTGATTCTCTCACCCTGCCAGTCAGAAAAACTATGATGCAAGAAGCGTCCTTCCAAGCACATGGAGGCAGAGCTAGCAGGGATTTACATTTTAACAACATCACCAAAAATCTGTCCACTTGCAGAAACAAACACTTGCAAACTCTTTCCACAACCTACCTCAGGCATAAAATTTTGCTGAGTTAAGAACATGATATATATTCACTAGCTACTTAAAACTAAGCTAGAGAGTAGACTCGAGTGCTCCGCTTTGTCCACAAACAGTATACATGAATGTGAGTAACTCAATCTACAGAAGAGCAAGTTGCATAGGTATTCAGCTTTGTGTCCATGGCAGAGAGCAATCAGTGCAGTTGAGCCTCATTATGGAATTCCGGAAACAACTCTGAGACACTCCTTTGTAAGATCCTTTCCCAGTAGTAATTTCTTTTTACTGGTAAACGATAAACACTTTGGAGCAAGGTCTTCAACCTTTTCTTTGTGTGTACATCACTTAAGATAAAATAGCTCAAGTAATGATGGCCTCCAAGAAGTATCACAATAAATAACATGTTCGTCAACTATATGACAGGTCAGTCTGCACGTTCACCATTTACAATTAAAGCAAAACAGCAGATAAGGTAAGCGCACTGTGTACAGTACGTGTGTATATTGGCAGGGGGATGAAGGGTTGTTATTCTTGCTCTCTTCTCATGACTATTCACTCATAGATTTGCTAAAAGCCTCCCTGTTACCTGGTCACTTAAGATTCTTTTAAGAAGCTTTTTAAAATGGAAAGGCCTCATGCTGGGCCTGTCCTGAAAGCTAACAAGATGTTCAACCACGCTTGCAATGCGGAAGAAATCACAGAAGCATCCCTTACCTTTTCAGAGGTCACGCTGTTTGGAGGGGTCTTATATACCAAGACTTGGCTTGGATTGTGCTGAGTGCCTCCACGCAGGGGCACAACCACCTCTGAGGAACCAGAGCCCAGGAAAGGGTTCCAAGCAGCCCATCGAACTGAGTGCATGTAGGCTGCCTTGCTCAGAGATGTGGCGGACAAGGCCTAGGGAAACAGGAAAGAGCAAGCACGATGAGCACCAGGAATCCTCGCGTTAGCGCAGGAGGCATACTGCTGTCATCAAAAAAGTGACAAAATAAAGTAGGTTAAAATATCAGCTGTTTTCTGCCCAGGGAGCAATAAAGTTTGGTAGCATTCAGAATTTATGGTAGAATATCTTCTGCCTTTAGGAAGTGTGACACACAATTTTTCTGAAGTACTTCTCTTTATCCTAGAAGAGAACTAGGAGGCTTGCTTTGTTTGCACAGTTCTGGAATTATTCATACAGACTGCTTTGCACTGCAACAACGACAAAAAAAATACCAAAGAGCAGGTCACAAGATGTGGCCTCAAAGGGGCAGTGCATCTTTAAGCTTGCATAGCTCATAACAGAAATGCCATTTACCACTTCACCCGTCACTGCCAAAACTGCACACGCATGGCCTCTATGGTAAGTTTTATACACTTAGAGAATAGGCTGGAGAGACTGCCCAGGCACATCTGAAAGCTCTATGTCTTTGCTTAAGGGGACAGGCCTCTGGGCTAGTTTTGCTTTGGGCACAAGGGTGGGAAGGGATGGGGAAGGCAAAGTTGCATTCTCTGAGGCGAGAAAAACAGTCTACATACTAACAGTAAAGGGGTTTTTTATTTCCACTGAGTGACTCCAAACACCTGGGACACGATGAAGGCTGGTGCACAACAGCGCTCCACGGTTAGCATAAAGGAATGAATGTCATCCAATAAACTAGGGGTCTTATCTTCAGCTATACATTTTCCACCCTTGACTCCAATATTATACAAATCACTTATCTCTGCTTTCAGCACATTGAGACCCACTACTTTCAAGCACATTATTTGTCTTTCCAGACCCATTTTTGTCAGAGCACAACGTTCTCTTCAAATCATTGACTTTTCAAGTGCAAAGCAATACTGGCAATACTTTTCTGACAGACAGGGACAGAGTGTTGACCCTGTGTAGCACATTTGGGATCATTTATACCTCTCAGCTGAAGATTACTGGGCTGGCTTTCCCACACTTGCAATGCTTGTCTCTCCTCTACTCTTTGCCGCTGGCAGTGCAGACAGAAAACCCAACTTTCTACATGATTTTTATCTGTTTGAGGTTAAACACAAGATCGCGGCTGCAGCTGCATACAGATATGAATCCTACTTTCTCACTGTTATCATTGTATCACTCTTCCCACTTGAGTACTTTTTATTTTTTCCTTGTACTTATCCAGTTTAACTAGCAAGTCACTGAAATTATTTCCTTTTCTGCACTCTATAGTTGCAGTATTTTAGACAATCACATTCTGAGATAATTTTACCTCATTCCTTTACAAAATTATGCACGGGACTATACTTCTATATTCCGGATCAACAAAATGCAATATAATGCTTTTCAAAAATAGAGCTTTTTTTTTTAGCCTTTGTATTTTTTAACATACACAGGCTGAGATAAGACAATCCACCCCTTCCTTTCCACAACTGGTCTTTTTATAGCCAATATTTGGCTCCAAGTGAATGTTTTCAGCCAAGCAGTATAAGTGAGAGTTTATAATGTAAGTGCTAGCAGATCTTACTAGGAATTTATTATCACCATTGCTGTAATAAGTGGGACAACGTTCCACGAGATGAGAATTCTTCCTGTGTATAGAAAGTGATTAGGTCTCTGCAATAAGGACAGAGAGCTCATTAAAGAACTGTAACTCTCTTACTCAAATAGCTGCATTAAAAGATATATCTTTGACCATCTACTCCTCAAAGATGGGAAACTTATTCTAAAAGGAGGCTAAAGGGTTCCACTTACCCAATCACTTTAACAGCTTCCCCTTAAAATTGAAGGTTATAGAAGAATGTATAAACACAAACTTACAGCTCTCTATCCATTTGAGATCATTCTTACAGCTCCTTGCTAAGTGCTAATTACAGCACAGAGACTACCGCAATTAGCTTGGCAATCAGCTTTGGGATTAACTGTTCCACAGAAAGGAAGCGCAGAGGGTAACTGGGTTCACCCTGCCACATGGGGACCTCAGCCAGCTCACGGCACAGCCGGACATCAGGCAGTGCTGGTCCTCTGCCCGGGACCAGTAGCCACCAAACACCGGGGGGTCGCGGGCTCACAGCCCGAGGCAGCCTTCTTGCCAGCACCGACCTTGAAGGCAACTGCATCGCCCTCCCTGCAGCACAAGCAATGGCACGGGCCACCTGGCACAGGACATCCCTGGTCACAAGGACATCTCAAAGCACTGCAGGCTGCACAGGCAGTGGTCCGCTTGGGCTACCACTGCCCCCAGCACAGGGCCAGACACCCAGCACATCTGAAACACATGGGAAAGGGGACAGCACCAGCCATCGCCTGCATGCACCAAGGCTGCAATTAACTGATTGCTTCACCTTGCAGGGCTTTCCATCTGGTCCCTTCACCAGCATTATGTGCATTAATGGGATTTTGTTTTTCTTTGCTCTTAATTAAACCTAGGAACTCAACTTGAGTTGAAAATAAAATTGAGTTTGTTAGCACAGTTAAAAAAAAATCTGCATTCTGAGACCCAAACCTCTGCAGGTCCTTAGGCTTTAGCTTTTTAAATGAGTCAAATCCAATATCTAATTTCCAACAGCACAGTTCTCAGATTTTCCTCTCCCAATCAATACAAATCCCTTTGGTCTGGCATGCATGTGCCACTTTTATAAATATCCATGTTTTCCCCCAGTTTTGCTTCGGACAGCTCTAATGAGAGAAGACATTTACTGCATTATCAATGACCCTCTCACAGTCATCTTAGTGGGACAATTAGGGACTCATAACAAATCAATTGCTATCGATTCAGCCGCTCCGTCACACCACAGACTAACGGCAGGAATAGTAAAGGATCTCTGGAGATGACAGCTTGGGCAAAGAGCTGATACAGCGCTAGAAAAGCCCTGAGCCGCACGCCGCCAGGCGGCTGTTGCTAGGGAAGGGAATAGAGACGCCGCAGCAAGCGCCTTCCCTGCCGCCTGCCTGGCGCTCCGCTGACAACAGGCGCGTTTCTAAACTTTGTACCTCCCAGAATTAGACCATCTTTACCCTGTTTGCGTCTCTATCTGCTAAAACGCAGAAAAGCAATACACATGTGGGTGAAGCCGTGTAGCACAACCTAGCTGCTACCCCATCAATCCGCACGTGCTCCTCCGCGCACCGGGTTAGGCATGCCACAAACAAGGCTCCGGCTGCTCTCAGTCAATACCTTACTGATGTTCATCAATACTTCATCCCACCAATACACAACAGGCAGTTTTAACTTAGCAGAGAAAAAACAGCGCAGCTTTCCAACGCCGCAGATGTCCAGGCAGCAAACGTTTCCTGGTCTGGGATACGACAGATCCCTCCCTGATCACTGGGTGACGTATGTCAGGGCTCATATCTAAAACCAGTGCCATTTTGCAATTAGGTGAACAGCATAAACGGAAGGACCAGCTCTCACTTTGCTAGCTATAGTTCAGAATCATTTGTTAGGGTTCATTCTAACCTCCAAAAAAATGGAATAATATAACTGAATACATGCAAATGACCAGTAAGTCTATCTTAGCAAATATCATCTTTGCCTGTACAATTGATACAGAGATTTTTCTGATTAAGAGCTGGAACAAGTCAGATTTAAACTCTCAGAAAAACATCAGCATTCCCGAAAAGAACCTGAGGGGTTAATCTTTTTTCAGCATAAAGCTTATTTTTGTGCTACATTCTAAAGAGCCTTTTTTAAATTAAAAAGGCTGAAATTCTCCAAATCAGCTTGCCAGAACACTCCAGGACTGCTACAGGCTACATTTCTCTATATACATATACACAGTGGAAAAATTTAACAATATATAATTAAAATGATTTAATAAGCCCATTTGCAACATATTACACATGGTATTGTGGAAAGCACTTTGACGTTTTGATAGGAGATATTTGCCTTTTTTCCCCCCACAGAGTGAAACAGTTCTTTGGATACTGTACATGAGCAACAAAGGGAGCTATTGTTTGATCCTAGAAGATACTGTGCCATAAAGTGCAATTTTCCCTCCTGCCTCTAAGTTTTATAATGTTCAAATGTAGAAGCGAACATTCAAATTTGATGGCAGTCAAAATCTCCAGCAGTAGTTAAAACTAATAGAAAGAGACTCACTTGTAGAAGAGTCTGATGAGAGTCCAATGATTTTAATACTGCAACGATTTCCTCGTTCCCTCCCTCCTTCCCTGCAGGGAAGCAGGATTATCTGTAATCCCCCCTGTAGACTCTATTCTTGACGCATTTTACCTCCTGAGCAGAGGACACAGATAGTATGCATGCCAGCGTGCAAAACAGCAGATTGCTCCCCAGTCTTCCCAGAAAGCAGAGCTTGAATGATTATAAGCATGGCCCAGACACTTTCATGCATCTTTGTGCGACTGTCGCACCTTTCTTGACACCCGTCTACAATGGTGAAACCTACTGAGACAAGAGAAAGCAGACGAGGCAATTGGTCTGACCTGTTACAGACCAAGCAGCCTCCGCATCCCCTAGGAGCGCAGTGGGGCAGAGAACTAGCTGACGTCAGCTTTGGGGTAAGTGCAAAATGAACACCAATAAACAAACTACAGCCCTTTCCAGGTGGGAAGAAGGATGACATCCTGCCTTCACCTCCCACAGCACAGTCCATTCACCACTGGGATTTGTCCCAGATGTTCACAGGGTAAAGAGGGAAGCCACCCTGGGGTGAAACCCAGGGCTGGTAAAGGAGACAGAAGAATGGAGGAGTAGGCTGTCTTCTGGGACATCAGCTAGTGAATGCAGCGGAAGGGATTGTCAGCGGGGATTTAAACACCAGAAGGAATCACTGCCTAAGCAGGAATAAGGAGGCACTGAATCGATGATCTTTCAGTCCATCAGTAAAGCTTCAATACAAGCTGGTAAAGCTGGGCTCCTAATCAAAGACACTAAGAGACCAATGAGCCAAAGGTAGTCACAATTCCAATTTACAAGACCAGGGATGCATACAGTGATTGTATTCATAAAAGCAAAGTAGGGCCTAATAAGCATTCACATTTTTAGTAGCTTTTACCAAGATTAATAAATCTGCTGTTGGGAGGATTCCTTTATTCAGTGTGCTTTCTCTTCTGCTTTATGTTCCCCATCTGTCAAGTTGCATATCTGAGATGTTAGTCAATAGCAATTTTTAAAAAACAAACAACTTTCTTCCACTAGTGCACTTAATGAGCGAGCAGAGCACTGCTACAACAAAGACTGATTGTGGGGAAAAAACAATGGGAAGCAAAGAAATATATCAAGCGCTAAGATCTTGTGATTGCTCTGGCTAATGAAAAACACTTCATTTTTCAGAAATAATTAAAAAGCAGTGATGTGTTAAAATAAGCCAGGAAAAGGTTAAAAAAAATACTGAAACCCTACAGAAACTGGAGTTTGAATCAGAAAATTCTGCAACTATACAACAGCTATTCAAGAGATATGTTAAGAAATAACAAATGTTTTGGGCTTGGTTCTATGATTTTTGAGGTCATGTTTCAGTCTGAAGGGCACAACATCTTTTTCTCCTATGTTATTAACTACTTCTGTGGAAAACAGTGTATTTGCTTCCTGTAATATAAGGCATAAGATCATCATGGTAGGAGTTGGAAACATTGAAAAATAATTCAACTATCACTGCTAAAGCCAGTAAAGTTTTCTAACATGCTTAGGAAAGAAAAAAAATCTCTCTCAATTTAAATCACTGTTGTTCATCATATTTATAAAAGGTTGCTCTTTTTAAGTGTTAAAAAACCTTCTTTACTATAGATGTTGCAGAATGCATACTGTTTATCTGAATCATTTTTTCACTTTAACAGATGGTGAGGCATTCAACAAGTTTCCTATCTTTTCCAAATCCTTTTTGTTTAAAAAAAAAGTTGCAGAATTGTTTCTCAGCTTCATTTCAAACTGTCCTGATGTTAAAAGGAAAATGAGGAAAAAAAAAAAATCAATGGAGTTCTGAGAAAAAATGGCTTCATTAAAATAAATGTAACCTGTAATTTTGAATTGCAAGAGCAGTACCTTTCTCTCCTGTCTTTCTGTCACCTAGACATAGAATACTAGTTTAGCAGGTTGAAGGACCTAGAATTGTTGTCTAGCTAGAGCACATGCAGCACGATTCAGCATTTCAGAAAATAGAAAGCCATGCTCTAGCAAAAAACTATTCCATTTTTCCTTACAGGACTCAAGACCTTAACCTTTTAGGAAGGAACTAAGGAATGGATGACTTGTGCCTTAAATGCCTGCACTAATTATACAGCAGACAAGAATAGCTCAGAAAGTGCCATTTGTCTATTGTCTTGATAATACAGGACGGTGAAATCTGGGCAGACTATCTAGTTACTCAGAAGGACTTTGGTCCATCAGGTGCAGATTTATATTCTTTAATAATTGATCAGAGAAACTTTAGAAATGTCACTGAGTAACCAGAGCAGCTGTGAAGCAGTTACTGCAGTCCTTCAGGGACGTGTGACTAGTTAAGGATTGTCAGCAAAGCCTTTACTGGTTTCTAAGGCTTTTCTGTGCTTCCAGATGAAAGATGACAATTATTTGCAAGTGTGCAGTTCATCCCTACCTTCCCGTTGGCTCCCCCCGACGCACAGAAGACATACTCAAGCTGGAAGAAGATTGCAAACGCTGGGTGACGAACCATTTCGGTCAAATGAATGCGACTCCTCAGAACCAGAGCTTGACCTACACTGCTGTGTTGGAGCATAACAAAAGGGAGGATTAAAAAGCAATTGCCAAAAGTATTTATTTGGGATGCACGGTTGACTCTCTGCTTTGTGAGGCACTGAGCAACGCACCAGAAAACAGGCTAACAAACAGCACAGGAAGTTATCCAAGCTTCAGTCTAACAAAAAAAATGCCAGAAGGAGGAAAGGGGAGAGGCAGAGTCTGCAGCTCTAGCCCTGCAGGCAGGAGCCTGTCAGGCATGAAAGGAAAGAAACTGGGGCCCATGGCAAAGGTGACAGACTTGCAGCAGCTATGAGTTCTTGCTCTTTACCTTGCTCTGGAGCTGGAGCCCTGCTTCCCAAGGAAGCTTGCAGAGCGCCCCCGAACCATCTCAGCCTCCGGCACCAACACAGCCACCTGCGGCGCCTGGACAAAGCACAAGCCGTTGTGGACGCCAACATGCAGCCGTCGTTCCTGAATGGTGACCGTGTTGCCATCTGGTGTGGAGTTGGCCTGGGACATGCAAGTTTCCCAGAAAGGAAAAAGTACAGCTTTGAATAGCAACGGATGCCTGGGAAACGCACAGCAGTAGGCTGGAGGGCAGGTTCCCCAGGGCTGAGAAGGGAAGGAGGAACCTTCAGCCAAGGCAGAAAATGCACTAATGCTGCCGGTGTCATTCTGTTGGCACAGCTGGGTCAGCCCCTCTGCAGACACGTTGCCTGGGTGTCCCTCCCTCCCTAGCCCTCCCACAGAGCAGCAGTGGGCTGCAGCTCCCACCCACATAGCCCCCACGCCAGCCAGGGCTCAGACTGGCTCTTTGGAAGAGAAGTCTTTGCTTACACTAATGAAACAAAGTCAGTGGAAAAGCAATGCCCTGAGTCTAATCCTGACCTAAGTCTTCAGAGTGGAAAGGGCCCGAGACAGGGCAGGGAGGCAGCCTGCAATCCATCCGTGCGTACGAGCAGCTCAGCTCCCCGCCAGGGCCTCTCCCTAAGCCACTGAAGTGTGTTCAGGGGCTCATGAAGAGAAAAGGAAGATTTAGGCAATCAGTCATAAACTAATAAAAATGGAACCTGCCCCAGAGTGATTACTGGATATTAAAGTGTTTCATCTTAACAGCAGATTCAGTGCAAATCTGACAAATAAACAAGGACTTTGCTTGAGGTCTCTGTTGCTCACTAAATGGTATGACTCTTAATGTTTGTTCTACTAAGTATCTTTAAATCTTATCTCTCCATTTTTCAATACTGAGCTGACCAGAATTCTACTTATTAGGATTTGACTATCCAAAACAAAACCTACATAAAATTCCTGTGTACTAATCCAGAAGAGATCTAAGTAGTAAAGCAAGAAGACTTTCATAGCAGGAATAGCATACCCTAAGCAAGACACACACACTAGTGGAATTTATCTAAATGTTTCCATTCCACTCAAAAACAAGGCACTGACATTATTTCTTATTTATTGTACTTTCTCCTATTGTAATTCTATTGGCACTACCTTCAGTAAACGATCATTGTTTAGTAAATCCAACAGTTCTTCCTCAAATTTCTCCAGAGAAGGATACAGATGGATGGAGAGTTTATCCAGATAGCATGTGACTGATTTCATGAGCCGTGGTTTCAGAAAGCAATCATCTGAAAAGACAAGGCAGCCACGCACACATTACACTGCGGTCACAGGAAGACTTCATCAGTAACCAGAGGGGCTCCCTCACCACCCCATCCCAGGCCCCACTGCTGCTCGGGGAGGGAATAGCCAGGAGACAACGTAAGCACAGAGCCCTCATCCTTCCACAACCAAACTGAAAGAAAAGGAACATCTCAGGGCAGGTCATGTTCTCCTTATAAATGCTGCTAATAATAAATTCTACCATGCAACCGTTTGATAAGAGTGCATTACATGGACAAAGCAGCATCTGTTACCACTTCAGCCGAGTTTCCTGACACTACCTATATTCTTCTCCAGCAAGCGTAGCATGTTCTCCTCTCTCCAGCTATTAAATTGACCATCCTGAGTCTAATAAAATACGATAGCCATCAAGTCTCCTTGTCTCCTCAAGTCTGACAGCTCAACCAGCACTACAGGGTGGTACTAAGGGGGTGGATGGACTCATGCAACCCCTGCCATAGTAAAATGACCAAGCAATTTCCCATCAGATCAGGCCAGGACAAGCACTCTGAATTCACATAGCAATTCTTAACCAGAGCCAGCTTGCTTTCCTTCAGACCACAACTGCAAAACAAAGGAGCAAGGGCGAAACCCTGCCCAGGTGCCCACAAGTCCCCAGCGCCTGGCTTGAAAGATGCTTCTGCCTCAGGGCAGCAACGTGACCCCTAGGAGCTGCCCTCCTGAGAGGGGCACCCAAACGAATGGGCTCTAACAGACCTATACCGTCTGAAAAAGGCAGAGTCCAGGGAGCTCCAGATAACAGAATTAAACAGAACGAGTTCAAAGATTAGAGAAGAGTTCTCTCGGCTCCAAGGAACGGAGGAGCTCCTAACAAATTAAGGCTAGCAAAGCTGGAATCTGCCTTAATGTAATTTTAGAAACCAAAGACGCTTTACACGTTCCATATCCTCCGTTTTCTTAGTTTTCAGTCTATCAAATTACAGGGTACATTTTGCTTAAACCACTCCTTGTAAACTAATTTCAAGCATCCTGTTCCTTTATATCCAGTGTACTATTGGTGTTTATTGCTTGGTTCTTTTGCCTAAGGGAGAGAAAAGCAGAAGCAAAGGAGCCTGAACTTCTGCTGACAAATCTGTCCTTTAAAATAAAAATTTAAAAAGTCTTTTTCACTAAAAATAGTAGTTAGAGACTTTAGGCTTTTTGCAATGAGTTAATGGAATGTAAAGTCACTAACTGGACTAGCAATGATGAGCAGCTCTGCAAGGGGGCATTTGGGATGCCCCAGTCACAATCCTGTTACACTTACACAGCAGTCCCACGTTTACCAAGTCTCCCAATTAAGCATTCCAGTTCACCCAAACCCTCCAGCATATGCATGCCTGCAAACCACTTCCCGCTCCCCTGTCATGCAGGAGGCTGCAGAAATACAAGGCAGCCCTTGATTAGCCATAATTCTGAGTAGCACACGCAACTCCACATGGACTCTCTCTCCTGC